GAGGGCGAGACGTTTAATAAACTTTGTGTGGCAGCGGCAAGCGGCAAGCGGCAGAACGTGTCGCGATCGTGAGGCCATGTGCAGCGCGGCATCAATTGTGATTTATTTGAAGACTTTGAAGGGGCGGAGCTGGAGAGTGAGAGGCTGTGGCTGTGGCGTAATGGCTTTTGGCTGCAGGTAAATTTAATCAAGCAAACTTTTGGTAAACGTTTTCAGAGCGGGGGAAGGAAAGGTGTGGGCCATAGGCAATTGGAAAGCGTGCTGCCCATGATCCTATTCATCGCAAATGCAGAAGGAGCGGCAGTGATACTAGGAGGAGTCCAACACACGGATAACTCATCAATATCACTCGCAGTCCATGGTTCAAATGATTTTTTGTGTATATCTAAACCAATACAAGTCGTTAAGCGTTTTAACTCTGAAATAAAAGATAGATATTCGATGACATTTGTGTGTTTATGGTTCATGCTCTGCCATTTAGCACAGCCAAAAGCAGAACTCAGAGCTAAATGCCATGAAAAGCCTTAAAAATTATTTAAAATTCAATTTAAATTGTGAAAATAATTATTGCAGAAATTCCCAGCAAGTGTATGGATTTTGTTAGCTCTCGTATTTTCTTCCAACCTTTTCCACTTAAAATTAGTAGCTAAGACTAACTAGAAGCAGTCAGTCAGTCAGCAGCTGGTGGGCTCCTTTGAACTTCATTTCACATGACTTGCCTGCGATTTTCTTATTCATTTTCTGGCTGTTGCCTTTCCTTTTGATTTGAGGTTTGAACCTTCTTGTTACCTTTGCTCGCTGCTCTCTTTTCTTTTTGTTTTCTTTTTGTTTTTGCTGTGCAGCAACAATTTGTGCTAACGATGTCCGTGAGCAGTGAAAGAATAATACGAGCCAAAGCAGCCACCGCAGTCACAGCATCCACAAAATTCACAAAAGTCCTCGGAGGAGCACGTGTCTGCAGTGATCCATAAATGGAAGTCTCGAATTCCCATTCCGAGAAGAAGTGTAAAAGTAAAAGTATGGGAATGCGGCTGAGGTTTTTCCCTTCACTTTTTTTCTCGGTTGCCTTTGGGGGTTTACATGTAAGCCACACACATGTGTGCGTGTGTGCGTGTGTGCGTCGCTCTTTGGAGAGAGCTCTATGCTGTCTCCTTGTCTCTCCTGTGGCTCTTATGCATTTCTGATTTTTGCAATATTTTTGCTGCTTTTTTTATGCTGCCCAAAGATAGTAATTTGTTCCTTTTTCATATTATCGTTTGCAAAAAGTGCAAGCAGCACTCGCAGCCTTCAATTGTCGGGATAGCTGACAGGAGCAGCAGCACAGTCCCCACTGCTACACAGCTACTCCCTGTGCTCTCTCGCTGTCAGCTTTTTCTTTGTTATTCCTGTGGCTGGCTGGCTCTGTGTGTCTGTGTGTGTTATTTCAGCTGTTGTGCTCGTGTTGTTCCCGTGTCTTGTTATTCGATTTAACGAAGTGCACTGACATGTGCCACAATTCCCATGCAATGCTTTGCCTCTGCCTCCACTCCGCCCTGGCAAAACAGCAGATTAAATCCAAAGGGAAGCCCGAAAGGTAACTTGAAGATAATTTAGCTGGCAGGGCGAAACTTGAAGACTGTTTACTGCCAGAAGATACTCTGCTTAGAGACATTTTAAGAGTTGCCTTTAAGTTGCAGCTCCTTTAATCAGTCGTTATCCTGGCTATCCATTATCTCTGTGCCAAACGGGGGACTGTCTTGGCTTGGCCCCCATCTGCCATTTGTCCCTGTGACTGCTGCTCACAGCTTGATGCAACATGCTCAGTGTTGCGCTACCAGTGTTGCGGTTGCCATTCTGCGAATGTGGCAAATGCGACACAAAGTTGCCTGCCAGCTGCCTCACACATTCCCGCACCCGCACCCGAACCCGTAGTAATGTCTGCAATTCAAACGGAATTCTCCCCGTTTTTTCTTTATTTTTTCAAGAGACAGAGAGAGAGAGAGAGAAAACATTGTCACGTGGTTTTTGTATTTAGTTGTGTCGGCTGCTGCCTCCTGTTCTGCCTGTCCGTTGGCAAGGACTCCGCCACTCCACATGCCACTGTGCTGTTACCTGTACAGCAAAACTCCTGCAGCTTTTTCTTTGCGGTGACTGCAACCACTAGGATTCGCCTGGCCTTCTCCTTTCATTGTTAAAGTGCTGGGGAGATGGGGACGCTGCTTTTCATTGTCCTACAACTTGCTTCAGTTTCCATTTGTTTGTTTGCTGCCTGCCTGCCCCATTGTTTCGTTTGTTTCGTTTGTGTTTGTGTGGTGCTGCCTGGCTGCCTGGCTGCTTCTTTGCTTCTTTTGTTGTTAGGGAAATTGAAATAAATGTATGTGTAAATGCGTCAAAATTAAGTTTATTTCTTGGTCCTCTGCTAGTTGTTGTTTTTTATTTGTGTGTTTTTGCTTAAATGTCTTTGCCAGTGACAAGTGTCAATTAGAAAAAAGTTCAATTACATTAAAGGCAAAGGGGGCCAAAAACTACAACAAGTGTAAGGCTGTGCCGCTGTGTGGCAGTGTGGCAGTGGCATTGTTATAGCAGGGCATCACCATGAAGGATCATTGTCAGTGCCGTGGCTGTAGCTCTGCCGCCTTTGTCTGTAGGCAAGACAATGCCACGAGAATTGTGGCTGGAGATGTGACTATAATTGGACTATAACTTTGTTGTTTTTCCTCCTTTTTTTTTTTGGGTGTAAGCAGCGGCATGACTCTTGAGCACATAATCAAGGACTCAAGGGAAAGTGCGCAACGAGCGAGCGGGAGAACTATGAACGGGTAGGGAGATAAATAGACGTAGAGGGGGCTGAAGGGACTCTCATATGTTGAGATGTAAATATGGCAAAAGTAAAGCAGTTAATGGTGTATACAAGTGGCTTTTTTGGAGGGTGTTTTAGGGGCAGAGCTAAGGGTTTTTTCCTGCTATTTCCTTCCTTTAAACTGTGTCTCCAGCCCGTGGATTCTGTGTCTTCGTTGCTCTGCCTCTAATGTGTCTGCTCTGTGCTGACATTGACGTTTCATGACCTAACTCCTAATGAAATAAAATATTAATTAAGCAAGTGCAGAAGAGACGCCCACAGACAGCAGGCAGACGCATTTTTGGACACTGCCTCGCCCTGTCCTTGTAATGTAATGTTTGGCATGCAATTAGGCAAAATGATGAATGATTCAATGCGTTTGAATGAATCATGCCCCATGTCTGGAGACATGTAGAAGCAAACACTCGCTGGCATTTATAATTTGATCATTATTTATATTTAAATAGGTCTCGTACCCTCTCTCTCCCCCTGCTGACAATGGGCCCTGAAACACATCTGTTGGCTGCTTTTTCTTTTTTGCCATTGCTGGCCCCCTGTTTTGGCCCTGGCCAACAACAAATTGAAGGGAAATGATTCCATTTCATGCTAGATTAAACATGTGTCCACATAATTTATCGATTATTTATCATGTGGTCTCCTCTGTTGCCCGTGTGTGTGTGTGTGCGCTTCGACACAAAGTGGAAGTGTAGCCTCAGGACCCCAGCTACTCCTCCTCCCTGTCTCTCTCTCTCTCTCTCTCTCTCCCTCTCTGGGGTGTGTAGGCCTTTTGCGGCCACATTGCGCACACAAGTGCAAAATTAGAAACAAAAGCTCTGCCAAAGGCGTTTACCATCCACTGGGATGAGGCTGAGGCTGAGGCTGAGCCATGAGTAGGAGCAAACGTGACGCTGGCTATGGCTGCCATTTGTGGCACTTGTCGCTGCCTGTTGGTCGACCGAAAGTACCCCAAGGAGCAGAGCCAGAGCATGGAAGCAGGAATCAGAACTCATAGTTGAAGCAGCTGCCTCTTGCGCTCCACTATTTGTGTGCATTTTTCCAGCAAAAACTAATCCTATTTAGTCATTTTCCAACAGTGGAAAGCCTCGAACAGTTTCTAGAAGCTTTGCACATATTTTTCGATGCAATTTGTCGAATGTTCCTCTTGATTCCATATCTAATATTCCCTTTCTCTCGCTCATCCTTTAGGGGCTTCCCTCGCTCTATGATTACATTTCTAATTTAAACTCCCTCCTAAAACCTCTCCCCTTTAACGCCCTCGCAGCATTATAGGTGCTTCCCCGGGTTCATCATTTGACTGTATTTCTAGCATCGCGCGTATTTGCCTGCCTCTCTATGCCACACGCATTTGCCATTGCATTTTTACACACAGGGACACGGGGAAAGGAGACTGTGGGCCACCAGGAGCATAACACGAAAGTGGCGGCCATTTTGTAATCCGCATGTGGCTGGGTAATCACCCCCAAGCCTCGCTTTGCCACTAACCCCTGGCCATCACTCTCTCTCTCTCTCGCCCCTCTTCAGCCAACACTCTACACTTGCAACGTGTGGCAGCTTTTGCCTGTAACCTTTTTTTTTTGCTGCTGCTGTTTTGTTTTTGCAGCATTATGCGGCGGTCGCTCCCGTTCCAGCTCCAGCTCTCTGTTCATCTCTCACTCTAACTAACTGGCCGTCTCCCTCTCTAATTCTCTGCAGCTGGCACTCCGCCCCCCTGCTCCACCCATTGCTGCTCTGATTTTGTTGTGCGATTTTTGGGCTATTTTTGGTTTCCATTTTTAGCCAGCCGCAGATCGATCGATATTTTAAAGCTCAGCCCAATGCGAGTGCGAATGCAGCGAACTTGGTCAGATTTTTGGCTAATTAGAGACAGGGATAAAGTGGCCACCATTGTGTTGGGTTAGCCAAAAGGCTTTGCCACATGACTGGCTGCCAAAAAATAGGAAAATATTTCACATATTTTTCTCACACTTAATCTTGATCCAACTTCATAACTGTGGCCGCTGTGGGCGTACTTTATTTTTCTATTTTGACAAATTGAAAATCAATTTGCCAGCACAAAAATTGACTTCTGCTCGTTGGCAGCCAAAAGCCAAAAGTAAATCGAGTTTTCGCTCAACTTTGGCTCAACTCGTTTCTCATTCTTTGTTTTCTCTGTTCGTTTCAGATGGAGAAATTCTGCGCGTGTTGGTGAACAGCTCGGCGGAAATCAAGTGCGATGTGGGCTCCAGTCTGCCCGATGACAAAGTCCTTCTGGTTGTTTGGTACAAGAATAATTTACCCATTTACAGGTAGGGTCGCAGTTCCTTTGGTATCTCTGTATCTCAATCCTTTCTTGTTCTGGACAGCTATGACACACGTGGCGCCCACGCGGGCACACCGTCGCATTGGCGAGACGAGGAGGTCCTCGAGAATCGGGCCGTCTTTCGCACGCACAAGGAGCCAGCGGAATTGACTATAAATCCGGTTAAGGTAAGTCGTCCACCCCGTTCCTGCGCTCAGGATGAAAGTGTCAACCTCATTGAATTTTATAATTGAAATTCTCTACGCTCTACGCTCCACGCTTCCCTTTTTTGCAGGAGAAGGATGCGGGCAACTTTCGCTGTCGCGTGGACTTTAAGCTATCGCAGACCCGCAACAGCAATGTCAATTTGGAGGTTGTCGGTGCGTATATACAAAATAAACAGCCAGAAACTAGGGATGACACATTTGCACAGTGATTAAAGGTCGATTAAGCGATGCAAATTGAGGAAAATATTTATTTTTAAACTGTTTAAAATAAATAAAAATTAGATTTAGATTTAGATTAGAATGAAATGGAAATGACTTACACTTTTCTCTTAGATTCTTATTTAATCGATTACCAAAGATATTTCCATACAAATTTATCGTAATTATCGATCGATAACAAAACATAATTTAATCGTAAATAATAAACAAGACGCTCACTCGGATACAAGAACAATTTCATGAGCTTAAAAATGTTCAAAGCTTGCTTCAGCCTTCGCAATCAAACAATTTTCCGCTTGAAAAAACAGCCACTTTAATGGGAACGAACTATGTGTATAAATAAATAAATATGTGTACATACATTGTGCAGCCAGAAACGATTATAAAAGCAATTAACATTTGTGTTTTTGTGAGTGAGAGAGAGCGAAAGCAAACAGGCGCTGAACATAAATTAGCTGAAATGATTTTCTGGTTAGCCGCAAAACTTACAATTTATTATTCGAATATGCCCATAAAGAGTACAAATATATGTACTGCGGAACCCTTTGACAGTTCGGTTTTGTTTGTGCAATTGAAAAATCTGGGTGGAAATTGTTTCCGATTTGCGGCTGGCCGAATGTCAGAAATCATTGCAACTAAATTCGAAAAATGTGATTCCCTTTGATGCTCTCTGCTGTTAAATGTTTGTTAATTAAACTAATTAAATGCGATTACCTCTCTCTCCCTTTTTTGGTTTGTGCAGTGCCACCGATGCAGCCGAACATCTTTAATGAGCGCCGCATGAGAATCGATTCGAGGGCAGGGCCCTACGAGGAGGGCGGCAGCCTGGAGGTCACCTGCGTGGTCTACGGAGGTAAGAAGTCCCTTAAGGGACTGGGGGTTCCTTCCTTCCTCATAGGATATGGCACCATTAATAATTAAACTTTTACAAGTGGCTGTAAAATAATAAAATATAAATAGAGAACACACAAACAGCAGGCACCACAGGCACGCGAATATTATCAGAGAATTTTGAATACAAGAATAACAATTGAATGGGAAATGGCACAGAGGAAAAGCCAAGCCCCCTAAGGCCACGAGGCATAAATAACAAACAATAAATAAAAAGTTAAGTCAAGAAAAGTAAAGGTTCAATTGTTAGGAAAAGCGAACACAAAAGTCACTGAAAACAGAAGCCAATTGAAAGTGTGGAGGGTGGGACGAGGGCCAAGTCAATTTCTCAAATGTGTCGCCTTACAAAAGGATTAAAAATGGCTGCGAAAGAAAAAGGGAAAGCAGCGATAAAGAGAGAGAGAGAGTCGGGCAAAGTGTGGGCGTGTGGGAGGAGTGGCGGGGAGGAAACCCAACAGTCGACAGGCTTTGTTATCGATGACGATTCCTCATCAAGCCTTTGGCGACAAGCGGACAATAAATACAGCAGCGAAGTACAGTAGTACAGAAAAACACTGAAAGAAAACACGTCAGGAAAAAGGAGAAAACTTAGACCTCTTTGCATTCCCTTTTGCATACCTTTTCTCCTAGTTTCCAGTCTCATTTTGCTAGTTTTTGCCTCACAAATTCCACAGTGTACACACGCCCACACACATGTTTATGCACAGCTTTCACCCACGTGCAATCGCCGTTAATGAAACCCAAAATAAAGATTAAATGAAAGAATACAATGACAGTCAGCCCCACACACAAGCAGCAAGAAGAAGTCCAAAAAGCAAGAGAAATGCGAGGCTGGAAAGGCAGAAACGAAAGAGTCGGAACGGGGTACACTAGCCACAGTGCCTGACATAAGTATGTCACAGCAATCGCGTGCTTTATCGCTGCTGCTGCTGCTGCTGCTGCTGCTGCTGCTGCGTACTCTTTTTATTCGGGGGTTAAACGGAAGCGAAACCACTTTGAATGGTTTGACATGTCAACGTTGACATAAAATAAATCACCGAGCGACGGAGCCAGGAGCTCGACAGTCCGGAAACTGCACTTGAAACTGCCTTGGCAAACTGTTAACTGCTTCTGCTGCTGGCCAGCAGTAGCTGTGGCTATGGCTGTACTGTAGTTGCCTGGGCGTTTACAAGTGGGAGTGACTGTGTGCGGAGCAGGGCAGAGCAGAACGGGCCAAAATTGGGCACTCAAAATGTTGTATGTGCCAATTAAATGGGGACAAGGCAAGGCAGGGCAAGGCAGGGCATGGGAAAATGTTGCAAATGTGCAAATGTGAATACATGCTACATGCGGCAGTCCTCAAGTCGTTGACAAGCTAGAAAAAAGAAGAGAAGGAAGTCCGATCCATTGAGCGAGGGGGAAATGTAAAAGGAAAAGCAATTGGAATAGTTCTAGGGCAGAGCTGACATTTGGCAGGGAACAAATTGAGGAGCAGTTCCCAGTGCCCAGTGCCTGTGCAAAGTGAATGTTAAGCCCTGTTTTTCGTGGCTAATACCCTGCCCCCCCCCCCCCTGTGATATCTCAATGGCTTAATGCCCAAACTGCTGTAAAATTGGTAAATTGAAAAGGCGCAAAATCTTAAACCGAAGCCGGAAATGAATTACAAGCAAATGCCTGACATTATGCCTAAGTTTCTGGCTTTGGGCTCTGGCTCTCTGTGGTCCCTGGTCTTTGGGCATTCAACATGCAATGTCCATTACAGAGAGTGCAGTTCTGTGGCCGAAACAAAGCCAAAAGACAGCGACAGACCCATAAAGTGCTGCAAAAAGTTGCCACTTAAACAAGTGCAATCAGCAGAAAGTAAGTCAAAAAGGAGGCAGCTGGGAGGCGGCTGGCACTCAGGAAGCGACAACCGACCACCGAGTGCTGCACGACAGATGGAAATGGCCCAAGAATTGTAGCTGCTGGAATGGGCCTTAAGAGTGTGCCAAAATCGGCCAAGGAGCTGTAAATTTTATTGGGGGTTTTTCTGTTGCAAATGAACGCGGCACGCCAGCATGACCCGCCGAAAGACGGAGCTCGAGAGCAGAAATAAAGTTATAAACCAAGCGGCAAAGAGCCAAGAGGCAGCTGCAGCCACAGTCTGTGTGGGTTATAAAAATTACCAATCTACCGAAGGACTCTCGCTCTCCACCCTTCCTGCCGCCCTAAATCATAAAGAATATACACTGAGGGTGGGGACCATCGGGGGGACAGCCCATTGTGTGGTGGCAGTGGCATGAGGCATGAGGCATGTGGCATGGGTGGCTGCCTTTATGTACCCACTAATGCATAATATTCAACGTTGCCTTCTTTTGCACGTCATGAATTTTACACAGGACACTGGAACCCATTCTGCCATTTCTTCCATCGCTTTTTCGCGCTGCCTGGCACTACAGCGGGGAGGTCGCCAGCAGGGAAAACATTCAAGAAATAGAGTGGCTAAGGGGTGGGGAAAACGTTTTGGTTTAGAATATGAAGGTACCCCTTGGATGGGGTTATTTACTGGGTATTTGGCTTTTGTTTTGGCTATTCAATCAGTTGGTAGTTTACCCGAAGAGTTGAGAAAAGAGTTAGAAATTACATAGAAGAAAATGTATTTTAAGGGAAAAATTTATCTTTATTTCAATGTGCAAAAGATATTCCCAAGTGTAGGAGGAAACTTTTCCACCCAATCTCCACTCCAAAACCCAAGTCCTGCTAAGCAAAAGTGTGCTAAAAATGGCTGCCACTGCCCCGTCTCCACCTCTCCCTCTTCATCACGCCCTCAACCACCATAAGTGTGTGTGTCAAACGGAAGTGCAGGCGTTTTCCGCTTTTGGCCCAAACTGAGCGTTGGCCATATTGTTATGGCTGTTGCTGTAGTGGTTGCAGGCAGGCTTGCCGGCTACAAAATTGTGTGCATTTTTATATATGAAAAACCAAATTTCTCGCGCTCTCCCACCCCACCCTCTAGTTTTTTTTTATTATTATTATTTGTTGTTGTTTCTGCTGCTGTTGTGGCACATTTTGGAGCACGGAAGTGCAACAATAAGGGGGAGTCCGGCAACACAAGTTATTTACTACAAGAATAGGAAAAACTATAGAAAAAGTGCTGAGAGTAGCAGAAACGGAGGGGAGAAAGGAGTGAGCAGTGAGCAGAGCGGGAGCTAGGAAAGTGGCTTCAGAATGGTGGGGCAGCAGTGGTGGAGGGGTGATATTTGGTAAAGTGGCAAGACTGCTATGCCACAACATTTCGCATAATTCCGAGCTCATTTATATTTCATTTATGACCACATTGCCATCAACTGGCATTTTGCGGTGTGGCGGGCACTTTGAAAGAATGAAATGAATGAAATTTACGGCAGGAGGTAAAGGATTTTCACAGCAAAGAAAATGAACCTCTTAGCTTGCAGCTATTGCTGGGTTTCCTATAATTGTTTGTAGCCCCACTGGGGGCTGGAAGATCCTTAATCCTTAATTAAATAATAACTGCTGGGTGTCGCCTGCCTTCTTGTGGTCTTTTGCTCTCTTTAAGAAGCAACAACAAATGCAAATTGAGAGGAGTCTCCACCCGCCCCCAGTGAAGATCCTTAAAGTCAGAGCACGCTTTAAATTTATTTAACAACTTCCTCACTGAACAAAAGGCCAAATGCCAAAACAGCAGACACAGAAGCGAAAGAGCGAGGAAGAGAGAAGGAGGGAGCGAGGAGCAGACACTGCGTGACACAGAGAGAAGGAGACAGGCGCTGAAAAAGAGACGCAAACACCCACTGAAAGAGGGAGAGGAAGCGGTCCAGAGTGTGGGAGAGAGTGTAGCTGAGCAAACAGAAAGTGTAGCTACAAAGACAGCAACAAAAAAACATAAAAAATATTTATGTGGCATCGCAGATAGTGAGTGGGTTTTCGCTTTGCTACTTTTATTTTTATTTTTATTTATTTTTGTATGTGTAACTATCACGAGCAGCAGCAGCAGCATGTAGCATGTAGCATGCAGCATGCAGCAGCATTCCCGAAATGGTTGGTTGTTGCTGTTTTCTCCATATATTTCTTAAGTGCTTTGTTTGCTACGCCACTCCATCGGTCTACCCACTTTTTTTTTTGTACAGGGTACAGGGTATGCATGCCAAAAATCCAAAGCAAAAGCCAACAGCAGATGCACAGAGTGCGACAGCGACTGGGAAAGAGATGCTGAATAGATATGCAAAACTAAACAAGCAAATACGAGTATTTCAGCATTGCATAACTAAGCCAGAAGTTCCACTTTCTGTATACACATGTCTGCATGTGTGTGCGTGTCTCTTGTTGTGAAGCTGAACAATAAGCAACACGAAATAGGGACTCTGCTGGAGAGAATAAGTGTCCTGGCAACCCTGGCAACGTTGTGTGCAAGAGCACATAAGTGAGTGCCCGCCACACAGCGAGGCAGGACTATGGAATGGATACGTGCATAAAGGATAAAGTACAGAGTCAGCACATGTGATTTTTGCTTGTCCATAATGTGTGAGAGGCTAGAAATCAATGGTGAAGGGAATATGTTGGAAATTACTTAAACATCAAAGAGCGGCAAACTCTAAAGCAGCAACAGCGGGAAGCAGCAGCGGCTCTAACAGATCAGCAGCTCCAACAACATAGCAACAGCGCTGTTAACACGCTAACGCCCTGTTATCGCTTACGGGCACCTCTCTCCGTTAACAGCATGTGGCCGCTGCCACTGTTAAAGCGTGCTGTTAGCGCTCTCTCTGTTATTGCTCTCTCTGTTGGCGCTCTTACTGTTAACGTTGTCTGAGAGCGCTGTTACGATCCACATGGCTGTCCAGCTACCTGCGCTTGTTGTACAAACTACTTGCAGAAACCAAAAAGTAACAAAATTAATGATCATAATTAGGTTCAACAAAAAGATCTACATTTCTCCCAAAAGAATAACTAAAACGTCCCATTGTACAGTGCAGAACGAGTACGAGAAAGAGGCGGCGAGGTTTGCTTTAAGGCTGCCAGCTGCTTTTGCTTAAAAGAAAAGCGCTAAAAACTGGCACGCAGTTGAATGCTGCTGCTGCTGCTGCTGCAGCTGCTCATTAGGGGCCGGGGGTGCAGCAAGGATTGTTGGCTGTGGACTGTAGACCGGTGGGTTTTCCCGCATGCCTGGACAGGTCGCAAAGAAATGCTAATGTCGCTCTCTTGCATCCTTCTCTTTCTCTTTCTGTTGCACAAAAACCCGTTTTTTGATGCCTGCTCTAAAAATGGCAAAGCACTCAACAAAAATACAGCAAAGAAAAGAACCAAAAGAAAAAATAAGAAGCTAAAAAGAAAAGGAAGGACAGCAAAAAAATAACTAGTGCAAACTTTAAGTGTATGCGTGTGAGTGTGTGTGACTGCAGCTGCATATGTGTGTGTGTGTGTGTGTGTTGACATTTAAAGAAAAGAGAGTATACGCACAACAACAATCCTTGGCCAGCAGAAACTTCGAGCGAAGGCTTTAAAAACGAAAGCGAAAAAGAGTTGACCAAAACTTTGGACTCGAAGAAAGTTTAAAGGCGAAAATAATTGAGAAGAAAAGTACAATTAACAGACACTTTAAGCTGCAGTTAAAAATGCATTTAATGACCTTATTATGAATGCATTTTAAGGCAAAAATATTATACTGGCTTTACCCCACTCAGTCTCCCCTTCCGCCCCTATCCCCTGCTGTGTTTGTGTCTCTTTCTCTATGTTTTTTTGTTTTTTTTTATGCATTCTTTTGCCTTTTGCAGGGCAGGGCTAATAAATCACAGGAAACCATTAAGCCGCCTTGCTACACATGCGCTAATCTACTCCAACAAAACGCACACACAAAAACAGCTACCGGATATGAAAGAGAGAGTGGGATAGAGAGAGAGAGTAGCAATTTCTGTGGGCTCACTTATGGAGTATGTGAAATATTTTCATAAACAACATAAAACTCAACCGAAATGGCAGCGTTATTAATCAAAGTAATGTGTGCCGTGGCTCCAACCTAAAACTGAATTTATATTTGCACATGTGTGTGCGTGTGTGTGTGTGTGACACAAATCAAGTGCAGTTTCTGAGAACAGCAAATCCCAGAGTTGGCAGACCCCATCGTGGTTTTAGTTGAATTCTTTCTTGTGTGTGTTTATTTATTCGCAGGTGGATTTAATGGCACTTGTATTTGCTTGATGGCCGCTCATCAAGCATTTTGCTGCGGCAATAACTATTATACAATAATACTCGTAGAACACAAAATACACTCACACACACATGATATTTATGTCACACACTTGAGCACATACTAGAGCCAGAAGTGACACAGAAGTCATGCCTTGCGGTGCCATTTCTTGTAGTGTATTTATTTGCTTTTTGCCCTCTCTTTTTAAGAGAGAGAGAGAGAGAGAGTGAATAACGCGACGGACCACCCGTTGCGATTAAATTAATGTGCGCTCATATACGCACACAAAAGCTAATTTCAGCGCTTGATTAAGTTGAAGTCGTTAAAAGCGGCCAAGTGCTGCCGCTGCTGCCGCTGCTGCCACACGCTGCGTATGAGTAATGTGTGCTGCCTGATTGTACATAGAAAAGAGAAAAATAGTGTGGCAGTGCGTGTGTGTGCGGGCTGGATTCAAGAGGCTCACTCACTCACCTCTCCAACAAATCAGTTAACAAGCGTGTAGTCAGTCAGACTTAATTAGTAGCTTGTATTAAGTGGAGGAATGGATACATGCGTCAGCTGTTGCAAGTGCAAGATGCTGGCTGAAGGTTGTGTGTTTCTCGAGAGAAGGCAGTCAAGGCTAAGCCAGGGATTGAGAATTAAAGCAGCTTTAAAGCTTTACAAAAAACACTATAAAATGTGGGGATTGCAGGCCCTTGAAGATGATTCAAGATTGAACATTTAAGGCAATTTATTCCTACAGTTATGAGCTTTAACTTGTAATTAATTTCTAAATTCCCCGGTTGGTTGGGAAGCAGCTTTAATAATCACCTTCCACTCTGCTCTCCTTCACAGGTTCACCGCCACCCACTGTCACATGGCTGATGAATGGGCAGCTGCAGAACAGCGTTGTCGATTACACCTACGATGGCACCATCAACAGCAAACTGGTGGTCCGCAACCTGTCAAGCATCCACCAGCATGCGGTCTACACCTGCCAGGCGAGCAATTTCCACAAGAAATTTGTGGCCACCAACATAACCATTGAGCTCTACCGTAAGTATATCCTTCAAACAGTTTCCCTAAATATAAACATATATTTCTGGGGTTCTCGGCGAAATATGGCGCTAAAAACGTTTTGGGCAAACAGATTATTTCACTTTTATTTTTTTGTTAAAGGGTTTCGAGGGGTGTTTTTGCGGAAAGCGGATACTCTTTGTTGTTTTTTCTTGCTCTTATTTTTTGGGGGGGTTTTAAGCGTTGCCGATAAAAGTTTTAACAAATAGCTGCGCAGATAAAAACGAAAAACGCAGTCATCCACCCACCCAAAGAGAGAGAGAGAAAGGAAATAGAAGCGAAAAATAGATAATAAAATGGCTTATGCAAATATAGCAAAATGCAACAGAAAGAGAGGATGAGAGAGAGGGGCAGAGGGGCAGAGTGGGAGTACACAAAAAAATAATTGGCAAAATGGGAAAACAGAACATTTTTGTGCGTCACTTTTTGCAACCTGCCTGCACCTACACGCTGTGACCCCTGAACCCTTCCGCTGGGTTAGTGGAGTTAACCCAAGCCCTGCCCGAATGGATTTATTATTTTGTGACAATTTTTTAAATGCCCAACACACGGTGCATGCCACGCGCTGCAATGGCCATGCAAATTGTTAAATTGAATTAAATTGTTGCCAATTCCAGGCAGCCAAAAGGGGAGAGGCTGCGCCGGCAAATGGTTAAGAGATTTGTGTCAGGGCAAGCTGTTTGCAGCAAGAGTTTATTTGGAATGACAAATATGCCAGGAGAAATACTCTCGTGTCCCATCAACTTTATTAGTTTTAAAAGTCACGCAGGAACAGGGACAGGGACAGAGACAGGCGGGGTGCTGCATTTTGAGGGCTGTGCATTCCATAAAATCAAATAAAAAAACATAGCTGACTGGCACTGCCCTTAAAGCGGAATGATTGAGGATTATTTGGGGATTTTTTGTGACTATTTCTGCACTAAATAAAGGGAATGAAAACATTAGCTATGGGGTTAAACGTTTTGCCTGAATGGAAACGAATTTCTAGACATATTTTGGACATACTTTCTCTCCTGAGAGGCAACACTTGGATTATCTGAATTTTCTGTGTACCCCAAAATGTGCCCAACAATTTCTTTTCATCTCGAAGTTCTTCTAAACATATAAATATATTTTGTTGCTACTTGATTATTGGGCCCAAGGCATTGGCGCTAACATCCAAAGATTGGCCATAGAATTTTATGGCACTTTCGGCGCGTCTGTCATGGCTCTCAAAATGCCAAAGCAATTGATGTCAATTCCTACTTAGGAGAGGCCTCCTGTGTGCCCCAAAAAGCGGCAAGAATAAATGTACAAAATGTTCCTGCGACAGTAGCAGCGGCAGCTGGTGATGCGCATATTTGATATTATTGCTCAGAGGCGAAAGATACATACGTACAGATACGTACATCCGTGGCATGTGTGGCAATTGCGATGGGGCATAAAAGTTAACACGTCAATAATGAAGGCAGGGCAGGAGTAGGAGCTGGCGGGAGCCCTGCCACGCATTGACTTGGTCAATTAATGTGCACAAAGTTCGCTAAAGACATTACACCATGAGGCCATAAGCCTTAGTAGCGGCATGTGCAGCAGCTGACCCTGAAAAAGGGGAGAACAAAATGAGAGAGCTTCGGAGAAGGTGGGTTTACGCTTTGCGTGAATGGAAAATTCGCTGTGCGTGTAATGCTCATGGAGAATAAAGCGTGGAAGAGCCAGGCAGAAGTTACTTGAATAATAAGTATGACCTTAATTAGTTAATTTTATGGCCACTAACAATTAGATTACGGCCGTCACGATACCCAGCACCACCAGCCCCACACACTTGAATTTACTGGCGGGGGTTGAGCCACAATTATGAGGTAGGATAGGCCTCATTAGCACACACTTTAAGGATTCGCCCACGAACCAAAATAATAATAATGCAAATATTTGTTTGGGAATTGTTTTTGGTATTATTTAAAGTGGCCTTTCAGTGACTTTTGATATGTATTTTTTGGGTTGACAGAAAGGTGTTAGAGATGCATCAAAGTAAACCCGAATGCCTGTGGCAGCTGTGAGTAAATCCAATGCCAAAAAAGGCTCAAAAGTGTACGAAACTCACTCATAGATTTTGTTGCCAGCTTACACCAGTGTAATCCTGCATTTGTCGTAGATTTTTTGCCTGCATTTTTTGTTAAACAATTTAACAATTTAATTTGCTCGTTTGCATAATTGGACACTGCTTGGGCGCCCTTCTTTTAGGTCGTTATATATTCTATGTCCATTTAATTAAACATTTAAACGATTTTCCAATGCAAACGTGCATAATTAATTTAATTACAATAAAACGCTGCAGCAGCAACACCAAAAACAACAACAAAAAGAAATGGCAGCAAACAAAAAAATTGAAATAATATTGTAATATGCGCAAGCAAAATATATAAATGCTGCAACAGCAACAGCATCACAGCACCATCAAAAGAAATAAAATAAAATAAAAATCAACACACATACAACCAATGAATTGCCATAAATAAAGTGGTAGATAGTTTGCGCTCTGTCTCCTGTCCTCTCCCTCTCTGGCTTAACCGAAATGTCACGCCTTTAAATTAAGGCACAAAATGCGCGGCCAACCGCAGTAAATGTTGCCACAACAACAGTGGTCTCTGCCTTGGTTGTTTTGGTGTAAAAAAAGGAGAAGGCGTAGGAACAGAAAGCAACTTTTGTACCCAGCTGATTGCATCAATAATGCGGTTCGAAAGAATCATAAATGATTTATTCATTAAACAGTTCAGAGAACAATCAAGTAAAGAGATGTTTGTGGTTAATTGAAGCCTCGATGCGCACATGAACAAACCCACAATGGGGCTCAGACATTCTCAGAAATTGTTTTCACACAACACTTTCATTTAATTAGTTTTTCCCTTTGGAGAAAAGTGTTCTCCCTTTTGCTGAATGCCGCTAATTCATTGTTCAAAGCCTTTAATTAATTCCATAAACTAGTACATGCCCGAAATGGAAATCACACAATTAAAGAGCTACTTAAATGCCTTTCATGTATTCATATATCATATATGAATTCGCACCCAATAAACTACAACACAAATCTGCTCAAAACAAACGTTAAACAACTGCACGAACATTTGATTTTACGCAAATGATTTTGATTTTGTCCACCCCAGCAACAAATGCCATTTGAATATTTAAAATAATTTTCAAATTGAAAACTGCAGCAAGCAGCAGAAAAAAGGTAGAACTAAATACAAATCAAACAAATAATGATAACGATAACGGCGCTGAAAAATGGTAGAAAATTGTGTAATGCCGATAATGAAGCTGAATCAAAATCCGCTGCGTGATATTTGTTTTTCCACATGAGGAGAGAAAAAAATAGCCCCCCATATACAACCTGATAAATGAATGAATATTTGCAGCTTTCTGTTTATTTGTTTTGTTTTTATGTGTGGGGGTCTGGCAGGCAGTTTTTCAATTTGGTGGGCAAACAAATTGCCGTCACCGTATGAATATTAACAAATATTCAAATTACAACATAAATGATAATTGCATGAATATTTATTGGCCAATGGCCAAGCCCCCAAAAAGAGGATGGCCCATTGTCGGGACATATGGCAATTATTAATTGAATAGACAGACAGACTGCCGGCCACAGATTCGTCATTAAAGTTGATCCTTAAACCTTTTTGGATCATTTTGCACAATTATAATGGGATTTTCGTGCCCCACGCTTGATTAACTTTTCATTTATTTTCTTGTGGATTTTCTCTGTTGCTTATTTTAATTGATATTTTGTGCGCTGATCTTTTTGCCTGACATTTGCCTTGGCTTCGGGTTTTTGTAGCACTTTCCACCGACACTTATCCTAGCGTTTATGCCGCCCTTTTGTGCCATGCCCCACATTGTTGCCACACATTTGCCATGGAAAGAGAGAGAGAGAGAGAGAGAGAGAGAAACTGAGAGCGAGAATCGTAATTTGTTGCAATTAATTTTAATTGCATTGCCTGTCATTTCCATTTCCATTTTCATTTTCATTTTCGTTTTCCATTTCCATTTCGTTTTCGATTTTTCACACACAATTTGAATAAATCAACAAAAAGCTGCGCTGCAACGAACCAAAAAACGAAAGAGAGAAAAAACAAATAAAAACTCAAACCTTAAATGGCATTTAAGCAAATAAATTAACTATGGAAATGAATGCCCAGCGCTCATAAACAAACTGTTTGCCTTTGCCTTTGCCTTTGCTCTTGCAGTGCGTCCCCTTTTGGTGGAAATCAGCTTCAACAATCAGCCCATGTCCGCGGACCGCAAATACGAGATTGAGTGCCAGGCCATCGGCTCACGGCCACCCGCGAAGATCACCTGGTGGATGGGCAATCTGGAGCTGCATGGACACAGCCAGAAGGTAAAGCATACAAGAGAGAGCGACTGCAAGAAGGTCTCATATATGCATATTCCCTCTTTCTTTGTAGGTCTCGGAGGATGGTAATGTCAGCACTTCCGTGCTATCGATTACCCCGACGAGGGAGGACCACGGCAAGGCCTTGTCCTGTCGCGCCACCAACGAACTGGTGCGCAATGGCATACGGGAGACGGCCATGAAGCTGAATGTGTTCTGTAAGTATGCAATAAAAGACCGAAAAGTAACTTTAAACTCTGCATTACATTAAGCCTAAATTAAACTTGAAACATTCGAACTTCAACCAGCAAAGAGTGAAGTAATTATCTAGAAATGTGTGGAGCCTTCCCTGCTTAAAGTACCTGCCCCTTCCCTTAGCACTAATAACACCCCCATGACCCCATGACCCCATGACTGACATAACATATGCCACTGGCTTTATGAGTGGTGTGCCCATAAAGCATCAATGGAGCTCAGTTCTGGTTATGTTTCCGTTTCTGTTTCCATTCGATGCGCAGCCATAAACTATGTCAACCGCTTATCGCCCATGTCACTCCGCCCTCTCCTTGCCCCATTTGGTGGGGAGTGGAATCAATATTCATTTGCATACCAATGGGCCGGGACGCCTACTCCATGCTGACAGCCAGACAGGCGGACGGAGGGAGACTCAGTTTTGGGCCAAATGTTTTTTTGGAGGCCAAAAACACTCGTATGTCAATCGTTTGTTTTATGCACGCGTTCTGCGGCAGGGGGCAAAAGTTTGTTAATAAAATTGCTATGCCAAAAACGAGAGAGAGAGAGCTAGAGCTAGAGCGAGAGCGGGAAAGAGCTGTTAGCCAGGCAAAAAGCTCACTTTCCAGCAGCTAAAACACACACTCCCGCGACCCCACACCCTTTACGGGTAGCTCCTTAATGTTTCAATAGCCCCGAAGAGTGTCCTGGGTAAGGCAAAGGGTGGCGCTGTCGCTGTGTCGACGACAGCGTCTTGGGCAAACAGTTGCCACGTTGCTATTATCTAAAAAGCTTGCCGCATCGTTCCGTGCCGTTCCCCAATGCCATTGAAACTTTTACTCCTTTCGGTTGGGGGGGCGGCAGCTCGAGAAGGAATGCTGCTGCCTGCCACTGCAGGATGCTGCTTGCTGGGACTGGGACTGGTGGATGCTGCCTGCCTGCCTGCTGCTGGCAGAAGCTTCTTCCTCGCGTCTCGCTGATATAAAAAATTAGATAACAATTTCAATTTCCATGCTCATTTACATGTTTATAGCGTGCTTAAAATATTTTGCCCTCCCACTTCCTGAGATTTCATATTTCCAGTAGCTCCGCAGACCCTCCCCCCTCGATCCTCTTGCCCTCACAGCAATTTTGTGTCTTTTTTAAGAACGTTCTTTGTTTGCCTTTTCCTTTTCGGGGGAAAATTGAAAAGTTGATGCAATGCTCCCTGCTCCCAGGGCATGGGGCAGGGGCAAAGGCTGAATGGATGGGATGGGACGGGATGGGATGGGCTGCCAATAATTTGCTCATTATATCACAGGAGGCCGTAAAAGCGCGTTATCTGTAATATATCTTAATTCCCTGTCGCTGCCTCACTCATTTTCCACACAATCAGCCACGGGAAGAACCTCTAACCTGCGCTTGGGGCACAAATTAAAATCATATTCCCACATTCAGCTAATGACAAGGCAGGAAATGGCTGCAGGAAAAGCTTGTGCCCCAAACTATATTTGCAATTAATTGTTGGGGGTCGTGAGCAGAGAGAAAAGCGGAAGATATAAACTGTGGAAAACATAATGTAATTTATAAGGCAGGCAGCAGGCAGCAGGCAGGACAGGCTTGGGGAATCAATTTAAGGGTCTGCTAACGACAACTTGTACAAGTTTTGTGCAATACACAATGACAGGGGGCAAACGCGCACACACACAGATAGATACAGTGGCAGTTGCAGCTGCAACATAATGTGGCAGTACTGCCACTGGCAGTGGCACTCAAAAGTCGTTACGTTAAGCTGCAGTTTTGGGTTTATTTTTTTTTTTTTTTTCGGACTTTGCTCTCCCTCGCTCGCTGTGTAGAACCGTAAAATGCATTAGCCAGGACGTAGTAGTTGGCCAGCTTTTGCGTCCAGTGACAGTTATTACCACTTAAGCCCGTCCTAACCGCAACAGTGTGGCCAGCCAGCAGAGTCCAGCCACTTTCCAGTTTGGCCTCTCAGACGTGGACCCTCAGGGCATGGTGCGGCAGCCTCAGCTCTGTCGCTGCCCCCGTAGAATGGTCTCTCCGCTGTGACTGTCTCTTGCCTCAGAGAAGGTTCCTTGTTCCTTGTCATTGTGTGTGTGTGTGTCTGTCTGTGGGTTCTTAGTTTCTCCTGAGTTTTCACTGGGCTTAAAGTCATCGCTAATGAACTTGTTGAGCGGACAGCGGCAGAGCCTGGGAAAACGCTTTAAATTATGCAAACTGCTTTGACTCCTTCTTCCCGTCGCTCATCTTCTCCTTTCTCTGTGTGTGTGTGTGTTAAGGCAAGCACTTTTCATTTTCATTAACAAGTCTTTGCAAAAGACGAAATCGGCTTAAAGAAAACTTGGCCATGGCAGCAGAAGAACCCCCTGCAGGGTGGAGTGGGCTTAGGATCCAAAGATTCGAGCAGAAACTACGAGCTGGCTGGGAGAAAAGTTGGCAAAAACAATGCGGAATATAATAATAAACAAAAGGCGGAAAATGGAGAGTGGGAGAGACAGGAAAGTAGAAAGAGAACACAGATAGAAAAGTGGCAAAAGAAGGCGAAGCGACACTAATCACAGATAAGCTTAGATTAACCCCCTTCCCGGTGCCTCCATCCCCACACACAGAGCAACGGACACTTGGGTTGGGGCACGGGTTGAAGGATGGTCCAAGACAGCAAATTACAGCCGATGGCAGGAGCTGGAGGAGCTGGAGGAGCAGCAAGACTATCCTAAGAACAAGAGTTCTTCCAATCTTAAGCTCTTGCTGGAAGCTCTTGCAAAATGCAAATGAATACCATGCTCATCCCTCGTATTTCGTTTTCTTTCTCACTCTCATTCTCTCTTTCTCGTTCTCTCTTTTGCAGTCATACCCACATTGCAGCTGGACCTGGGCTCCAATCTAAATCCGGAGGATATCGAGGAGGGCGATGATGTCTATTTCGAGTGTAAAGTGCATGCAAATCCCGCTGCTTATAAAGTTGTATGGAAGCATAATGTGAGTAACAAACAGCCAAAAAAATAAACTTTTATTCCTTTGAAATATTCATAAACTGTACGAGAGAGACAGAGAGAGAGAGAGAGATAAATAGCTAGACGAATGGCACATCAACTTTTGGGGCTCCGAAAAGTTGTATTCCGCTGCTGACCTTCAAACGTACTTCAAACGATGCATCAGCACTCAAGGCAATTGAGCGTACAGGTCGGACGTTGGTCCGTTGCCTCGTTCGTCCCGTAACGGAACTTCCGGCAATTCCCCAAAGATTGGCGTGAGACGCACACACACGAAAGAGACACGAGACCGAGAGAGAGAGAGCGTGGAGTAGTAGCCCCTCTCTCTCTCTCTCTCTCTCTCGCTCCTTCTGGTAAATTATTATGAAACCAAAATTAAGTGGTCATTTTTACTGAATTATTGGCCAATTATTTTAAGGCAATTGAGTCAAGTGGCGGCAGCCCAAAAGCAGCCAATGTAAGACACTGCCCAAGCACTGGCCCTGGCACTAGGGATGGGTTTTCTTTCGCTTCGGTTTGGACTGTTTTTTGGGGTTGGGTGGCCACCATACAAGCTTACAAGGCAAATTATTTGTTTATTAGTTCTACAAGAGGCAGGCAGCACAAAGAACTCCGACTTGAACAACGGCAACAATGGCAGAGGGCAGGCGGCCGGGGCAGGGCAAATAAATATTATTCAATGTTGAGCACACAGGAGAGCGAAATGTTATGTGGGAGAGGGTGTGGAAGCAGTTAATACCCTCGCTAAATGCAAGCTAACGGCAGAACACCAGCCACTTGGATCGTGAGAGAGAGAGGGAGCCATGAACAGCGAGCTGTGAACGGATCGGCTATTAGCGGTGAGCGCTAACAGTGTGCTGTAAACGGGTGCGGCTGTTAACGGAGAGCACTAACAGTGCGCTGTAAACGGCAGAGATTGCTGGCTGTGAGCGATTACAAGCTGCGAACGGCTACGACTGTTAACGGACAGCGATAAGAGGCTGTTAACTTGAAGCATTAACAGCGCTGTTGCTCGGTTCGAACTGCTGCTTTGAACATCTAACATTGATCGTTGCCGCTGCTTTACACTAAGTTGAATGATAATTTCAAGCAGCAACAAACAGAAGAACACACAAAATGCTCTCCAAGATGGTTTAAAACGATTCCAACTGTCATATATACCCTCCTCACTGCACAGGGTAGTGCCTTAACAAGACCGAAAAACGTACGACCCCGCACGACGAATCAAGTGTATGAATAATATGAATGCTAATTGAATTCATTCACAATTCCGACAACAGCAACAACAACAACAACACAATGAAGTACATGGGCAAACAAGAAGCTAAGCTAAGCATCAACAACAACAACAACGAATAACCACGAACAAGCTGATGAAGAACACACAATAAAACAGAACAGAACAGAACAGAACAGAAGAAGAACTTAACTTGGTCATAACTTTCACTCGTCCCGCTTGTCCCCCCACTCTGTCCTACACTCGAAGATGCCCAAAAAGTTTCGTCTGTGTTTCCTTCGTACAAAAGAAAAGGGTTGGAGGTGCGGCTTGCTTAGGATAAGATGGGGCAGGGGAAGTGGACATAAAGGTAGATAACAACTTTATATGAAATAATAATTTTGCGCAAAAAGGCAAAAGGCAAAGAGGAAAAAACAAATCTAAGAGATAGATTTGTGTTGCGATTATCCTCTAAATTTAGGTAAACATTTAAAAGAAAAGGCAAAAGCAAAGGAGAGAGGGAAGCAATAATTATTATAAGAGCTCCAAGAAACAGTCAGATTTCCAGCAGCAGCTCTCAAAAATCCAACCAATTGCTGCTGCTGCATGACGCGTGACGCGTTTCAAGTGCCTCGTTCTGTCCGTGTGTACAGCCTCGAGAAAAGCAGTCATGAACGCGCTGAACGCTAGCTTACTCGTTATCTAACATTGAACCAAAATGCTAATTATATAGGCGAAGGAGAGGGAGAGAGACAATCAATGAGCTTTAGAAGTCAATGTTAAATGCAAATGAACTGCCAACAAAGCAACAAAAACAGTGCTAACAAGCAGGCGACAGGCGACAGGCAACACACACAGCAGAGCCGTAGCCACACAGTTAGTTAGTCGTCGGCAATCGTCACTTACATTACACACTCGGAGCAGCAGCACTTTGAGGCGCCTCCAGCCCCTGCTGCCACTAGTGCGAGTGTCATAACAATAAAAGTTGACTACAGCACCGTACACAGAAATGGAAATGGAAACGAAACTAAGCCAAAAAGCAGCGCAAAGAATGGCAGAGAGTGTGTGGCAGTGTGTGGCAGGTACAGGCTTAGACAGACAGACCAAGTGGCAAGCAACACACATGTGTGGCGTATGCGTAATGAGTTCAAGGCTAAGGCGCAAAATTGCAAATGTCTTTTGGCCACAAGCAAAAGTGAAGCCAAGTCAAGACGAAGCCAGGTCAAAGCAGTGTGGCAGGGGGGCGGCGGCCTTCATGAAAAGTCAATTGTTAATTGGGAAAAACGGTGGGGCGGTGCAGGAGCGGCAACTGCAGCTGCCAAAAATGCAATTAAAAGTCCAATCAAATTAAAATAAACTTGCTTGCATTTGGCATTCGGTTCACAATTAAATTAATTTTTGTATTTCCATTAGAGGGAACTAGAACCCATCCCGCCCGCCACCAGATGGCATCGATTCCCAGTCAAGAAAGGGTGCCACTAGGCTGAGTTGGCTTCTGCAAAGGGAGACCTTGTCACTTCTCTGTGTTATTATTCAATTATACATGCTGACAATTAACGACGAGCTGGCAAATTAAATTAACAATTAGTTTTATTAAACTTGCGCACACAGGCACCCATAGTGGGGGATAAAGTTTCATGCTGCACGTGTGTGTGTGTGTGGAAAACTTTTGCATGCTCATTAACAGCAACAAGAAACAGTGAAGAAAGTGGAAGGCAACAAACGAAGACCAGGACGAAGAGGAAGACGAAGAAACTTTGATGGTAAAACGTTGCCAGCGCAACTGGGGAGTTCGAGCTTCAAGTCAATTCTTACTGCCAGTAAAAGTTATTCAACCCACACACATGCAGCACACACAGCAACCGCAGTAAATGGCAGAAAACATAACCAGAAAATTTGATTAGAAAACTCAAGTCAATGGAAACGTCTTTGGAAGTTTCTCTAGAGAAGAAAAGCCAACTTGCTTGAGTTGAAATATGCTTAGGCATAGGCTTTGGGGCAAAACTGTGAAGCAAGCCCTAGGACAGGGCATAACTAGAAGTTTAACGCACAAAAAAGCTACTTAAATAGATATATCTATTGATTAATACATATTTAATTAATTTCTCGCAACCTTTTGTTGATTTTTTCCATCTCTGAATGTTGAAAATTAACAACCAATCGATAATTGTGCGTTTAAAAATCAAAATTGTACAGTAGAAGATTTAATTTCAATTTATTTTCTCTTGTTGAAGTCAAATTTCAAAGATTTATTTTATAGATTATGTGACTATTAATTAAAAGGTATTTTTAGGGCTATTTTCTGCACTTAAACTAAAATCTTTTACGATATTTTGTGTCTCATTTGTATGAATTTTAAATCTTTATTGGGCAAGCCAAAACTCAACCTTAACGCACACAAAACGTGGCCCAAAACGGACTGGCAAAGGGAAATGAAACAAAAACGAAAATGGCACGGGACTGGAGTATAAACCAAATCCACCTCAATCAGTCAAAGCCATCAGATAAATTACCAACACTAATTGGGTATTTATAGTCGAAACCAACATCAATGACAGACTATCACAAGTGGCAGGGCAGGCAGGAAGCAAGGCGGATAGGCAGTGGCATGGGCAAGCTCTTCAGAGAGGAGTGGCTCTGCCTGCCTGCCTGCCTGCCTGCCGGTGGACGAGCAAACATGTCAGACAAGGAGACAGACAAACAGAAATGGCAACGCATAAAATGCGCCATTAGCATTGAGGGGTTGTGCCCCAAAGGGTTGTGCAGACATCATCAACGTGGGGCAGGGAGACAGAGAGGATTGCGGCTGGTAAAGGTGCCAGAACCCAGGGACAATGAGCCAGCGTGGCGGAAAAGCTGCAGCGGATGTGCCCCCAAACTATTTGGAAACAGACTCGAGCCTTTTTTTTTGTGTGTTTCTTACCTAACCAACATTATTTTTCCTTCATTTTTTTTGCCTCTCTTCATTTTGTTTTAGGTATTTTATTGTCTCCCACAACCTTGAACTTTGTTTACTTTTTGTGTCGTATGCGCCTGGCGACATTTTTATTTGTTTTATGACAACAAGGTCGCTGAGCCCCCAGGAGCAGCTCTCTCTTTCCGCCTTGCTCCTTTTTTGGCCATTTAAGCCCCCGAAAACCCCAGGGGAATAGAGGCTGTAATGGGTTTGTGGGCCGAGCTAGGCCCTGGGGGGGGGTGTGTGCTCTACTTTGGGGCGCTTTAAGTAGGTCTTTAAAAATTTTTAGAGTGTAATGCAAATATGCGGGAAAGCGGAGTACAAGTGGAGTATGTATAACCCCCTGCTGCACACGTATTCTCCGTATCTGTGGGCTGTGTCTGTCTCTGTGCCATCAATTTCGTTGTCCAACCAACAATGGGGCATATCAATCATTGTCTGATTGCGTATTGAATGGCCCGAATGTCACTCAAATACAAATATGGTTTGGGGTCAGGAATTCCAGTGCCACACAGCCTGTGCTTCGTGGCTGTCTCAGCCACTGTCTATCCAGCTATATAATTGTTGACATCCATATAATGGAAAGGACACACAGCTAGCAGTGGCAGCCAAACAAAAGACGGGATATACCGCCAGGAGGAGACTCCTTCGCCTGCACCTACCCGCTGCTCTGGCCCACATCTGATGAGAGTTCAGAGTTCACAGATGCTCTCGTGCTGCTTTGTTTCTATTTACACACATCGCACTGAGAGTGTGCACTGTACAGTGTGCACTGGCTGCACTGTCTACGAGTGTTTTTCGCACTCGTTTTTATGCTAAGGTCATCGAAGGCTTTGTTCTGGCTCTGACTTTTGTCCGTTCACATTTTTATTTCCATTTCTATTTCTATTTATTTGAATGCTTTTATTGTTGCCTCATCCCACACTCCTCTCTGCTGTTGTTGTTTTCTGTGGGCAAAGTGCGAATTTGTTTTGCTGCTAAATGGCACAAGGCTCTGGGGAAATGCGTCAAAATGTTGTCGAGTGTCGGGGCGTTAGGCCCAGTGGGGAGAAAAAGGCTACAAAAAGCCAAAAGGCAAGCCGACGAACGAGGAGCAGCAGCAGCATCGAGCTGGAGGGCGGTCGTAGCATTATTTCAAAATGAGAGCAAGCGAAAGTGGCCCAGAAGAAGGTCAAGCACTGCCTCTACAAGTATTTGGTGGGGTGTGAGAGATTCGCCATGGCTGGTAGTCGTGGGAAACTTAAAGTAAATATTGGCTGATTTGCCAGGCACACTCAAAGATGCCAAACACGTAGCTGGCGACTCTCTAATGAAGCTGCCGTTCACTCATGTGTGCACATTTATGAGTGCTACGCATAGAAGGTGCCACAAAAATGTGTGACCTTGCGGCTGAGAATTGCTTACTTGGGGTAAAAAGAAAGTAAGCGAAAGCGAATGGCTTTTAAAGCAGGCAATGGTAGTGCCCAAAGTCTTCGAGAAAGTTGAAACAGAAATGGCAAGAAACCCACCCAGAAAAGAGAGTTTTAAGTGCATAAATTTGAGCTAGGTTTGAGGTTATTTGTGGTACCTTTTTCGACTTCCCGCTTGCTATTTTAATTGCTTAATAATTGCATAATATTATGATTATCTTTTAAGCAGCTAGCAAAACGGCATCTCAACAATACAGAAAGAAAACTACAGGGAAAACTGCAGGGAAAAACTTGTGTGAATGGGTTGAAAGGAGCTTTGGCATTGTCCTCGAAAGCAGCTCAAAGCGTGCATCACCCTCTCTCAGTCTTTGTGCCCTTTTGTGCAGAATACTTAATATGCTTAACTAGCGCTAATTAAGTGAACCTTTTGGCGTAGAGCGCACAGTGCATTCACTTCAGCTCCCTATGAAGCTGATTAGAGGGCTTAAAACCTTTCCTTTCTCTCTCTCTCTCTCTCTCTCTGTATGTCGCTCCCTTTTTTGTCTAATTATAAGCGTTTTAAATGCGAATTAATGCTGATGCCTCATTTTGCATTTCCTATTTGCAGCATCAAATCATTCAGCACAATCAGCGAGCGGGTGTCATCGTCAGCAGCGGCGACTTGGCCCTCCAGGGAGTGACCCGACATCAGGCGGGGAATTACACCTGCACGGCCTCGAATGTCGAGGGCGATGGCGATTCAAATGTTGTCGAGCTGAAAGTGATGTGTAAGTATGCCGGGGACCACATACAGCATGGGTTAGGGTTTGTTTGCTCTGTGAATATGTTGATTTGTGACCGCCCACACGATGTCGATTGGATTTGGTGTGCGGTGCGCTGGTATTGTGTGACACATCAAAAAATATAAAACCCAGCTGCAGCGCTCCTTCTCGCTCGCTTTTAGGGCCATTAACAAACGGCTGCGGGTTCGGACTGCTTAAATCGGACGCTTAAATGGAAAATCGAATCGTGGATTGCCATTCAAAGCACGCCCACTCGTAGCTAGTCCTCCTGCTGTTTGGTTTCTCGAGTGAACCTTTGACACACAAAAACGAGCATTATTGAGTGTTCGAGTGTGGCTGGCCAGCGATGAGAGCGACTACGAGGACTACGAGAACGGATGCCAAACCAGCGAGCGGTGGCCTCTTGCAGTTTTATTGCGTATGCGCCCCATTATTGTGTCCCTCGAAACCCGTTCGGCTTCTCTTTTGTGTATGTTGAGTGTCCCTTCTGGGGACACTGCAGTGCCACCAAACATCTCGAACTGGAGCCAGTGGGAAGGGCATACCAAAGGGCAATCTATGTCCTTTGCTGGCAGACCTTTTCTGATGGTGCAAAAACCGCAAATCTTCTGCTCAATTTGTGCTTGTCCGAGCACCGAGGCAGGAGGCCGAAACGAGGCCAAAAGTTTGGTTAATTAGTTTGCCCTTTTGCGAGCAATTTAGCACGGTCGTGGGGTAGGGCAGAGGGCACAGCCCCACCCCACATTCATCTTCGTCTGCTGGCTGCATGCCTCCTGCTGTTGTCCCGCTGCCTTGTGCTTTGCCTTTTCCGGTGCCATTTCCCGTCTATCACTTGTACTTTTCTCTGTGTTTTTTTTTGCTTGTTGCTGCTCTGTTTTGGCTTTTGTTTTAAGCACAACTTCCGCTTTGGCCACAAAACTCTCACAGCCATCACACACTGTGTGCGGCGCCCGCTCCTTCCGCCGTGCAGCTGTGGGTTGGCCCAGCAAAATATCGACAGTTGTCATCAGAATGCGGCACACAATAAATTCAACCTGCAGCAGGGGGCCAGCGGCAGTTGAAACATTTTCATTTGACTGGCGCAAAGGATTAGAAAATTGAATTTTACTTTGGCCACAGCTTTCGTTGCTGAAACTTTTAGGAAAGTTTTTGTTTTACTTAACGGTGGGACGGGGCGGGGCCTCATCCAGCAATGCACTAACCCACACAGCCTCCAGCTCTATCCCTAGTCCTACTCTGGTACACATTTTCTGTGCATTTTCCTTGCTGTTGTTGCTTTGGGTTTCCTCTGTTTAGTTAGCTGCTTGAATGGGCAACAAGAAAGGCAAAAAGCCCGAGTCCCAAAAATTCCGCACACACACACACACACACTGAGGGCAAAGTTTTCCACTTAGAAGATGATGCCAGTGGAAAGGCATGCAAAAAAGAAAGAAGCCGCTCAATGCCCAATCCTTCGGGCTCCACTGATGCGATTATTGATTATTCTCCCACTCCCACTCCCTGAGCTGCTGCTGCTGCTGCTGCTGCAACAGCAAAATGCACTACAAACATCAAGGAAACTTTTGCTAACAGACTTTGCCTCTCTCCTCCTTTTGCAGATAAACCAATTTGCCGGCCCGATCAAAAGAAAATCTATGGCGTGGCGCGCAATGAGGCCGCTGAAATTGTGTGCGAAGTGGATGCCTTTCCGCCGCCGGAGAACTTCAAGTGGTCCTTCAACAACACAGCCGAAACCTTCGATATGCCACAGAGCGGCTTCCGTCCACACTCGGCGCAGGGTTCGACACTCACCTATACACCAGTGAAGGTAAGTCCAAGAAAGGATAAAGGAAGAAGCAGGCGAAGCATTTCAAGCAAATGTCACAGCTACGACTTCCTTTTACCTTTTTCGTTGAATGCTAAACACACCGCGACATTTTGTGGTGTGGCTGCTGCCTGATGAATTTTTCATTTCATATTTGGCTGGTCGCTCGTTTTAATGTGGAAATTGTTATTGACACATTTGACATTTGGGCAGGCAGACACATTTTTGTGTGTGCTATTGAATAGCAAAAACTTTAATTAATAGGCGGCAACATGGTCGCTGGTTTGGCCCGCGTGCGTGTCATGTTGTCAGTGAGTACAAAAAACAATGCTTCCCCCCTGTTAGACGGAGACAACAGCAACATAGAGTGAGAGCGAGAGAGAGGCGTGTGCCAGCAGTCAAGCAATTTTAATTAAAAATTCTATTAGCGCTGCTTTCTAATTAAAAAATCCGATGCCATGCAAGCAGCCTGCCACATCATCATCATCGTCGAACGACAGCACAAAATGTCAAAGGTTGTAGAAAATAAATGGAGAGTGGAGCAAGAGAAAGCCAGTGAAAATTATTGGGCAGTAAATGGCATTTGCCATTGACTTTAATACGAGCAAATCAAGCCGATAAAGGACGATGAGTATCTGCCTCATTGCCTGTCGCTCTCTCTCTGCATTTTCTCTGGCACACATTAATAGCCAAAAATGTCCATTGAGATTGCAACTTTGGACGCTCCTCCCCGGCAATTGGCCAAGCAAATTGGCCATCAATGAGGCTGTGCACTCAGCCACTGCCAGCAGTGTGTGTGGCAATTTTTGTGCAGTTTTTGCATCCGCAAAGCCACGCAAACACATACAAATAGCGTCTGTATATTCGCTACTCGTGATGGCCATCATCATCATCATCTGCCAAGAGACGGAGACACAGTCAGGTCTGCTGCTCCTTCTCCTATTTTTTTTGTTTGGGTGCTTAAACTTTTATGTTCTGCCAAAACAAAGTCCAATGGGAAACTGCAAATGGCAAGAGTCTGCTGCTGCTGATACTCCTACTCGTCGGTGATCAAATTAAGAAGCCATTCTACGAAATTGAAGCCCAGTGTTTTGTGTTATGGCAGGAGAAAAGCAAAGGAGCAAAGGAGCATACCAGGAAGCGACATTCAATGGCTTTTCCTGGGCATTTTCATACCAGTTTTAGTCGGCAGACATTCGCTTAATATTCGGCATAATTGTGAGACTATCTGTGACCACATTTTAATATCTGTATTCTGCAATCCAAACCCTGCAACTGCTTTTTGCCACACAAATCCGATTCAATGTTTCAATGCTGTCCAAAACCTGTCCACTGATTCGTTCCAAAGCCACTAGAGCAGATCTTTCATTTGGGGCCTTCATTTGTAGCTGCTGCCTCGCCACCTACAACATTTTCAGCAACTGACCACAAACGTGTTAAGTCTTTTTGGGACTGCAACTGGGTCGGGAACGGGGAGTGTGTCTGTGTCTGTGTCTGTGTCGCTTGTAAGCCAACATGGCTGCCCCAAAAGAGCTGCAACGACTGCGAGTTGATGCTGTACATGGAGGCAGGCAGTCACGAGGCAACAACCAGCGAGAGAGGCACTCAACACAGTTGTCCAAGTTGCATTGCACCCCAGATGGGGTTTAGGTTTGGGTTTTTGGTTAGACTTCTCTCCCCCTCTCTCTCTCTCTCTCTTTATTTCTCTATTTCTCTGGTTCCTTTTTTTCCATTTTGCTGACCCAGTTTAAAATGTTGCGGCTTCTTCTGCTGCTTTTATTTCCCTCCTATTGCCTGTTTTTTTGTTGTTGTTCCTGTGGCTGGGGGGGGAACTAATCAAACTGGCGACGACAGCTACAGCTGCACAGAGGCTCACATTACAGCGGTCAAAGGAACGAACGAACGCAAGCCCCAGTCAAACGGAATTCAAATGAGTTCCGTTCACAAACACTCCGATGACGATGACGATGACGACAAGGAGAACTGATTGGATGCACACACAGACACATAAATCATTTAGCTCAATTGAATATGAAGAATCCCATCCGTTCTGTTGTCATATATGCTGTTTCCGGTTTCCGCAACCGCAGCTCAAACATCGCAGCTCGGTCCTTTGCTCCTTTTGGGGCGGTTTTTTCCTCCATTTTGCCTTGCCCTTGCCATTCGTTGCCCAATTTTTGGCTGGCTTGTGTGTGTGTCAACAGAGTCAAGCTCTCATTAGTTTTGTTTTGTGCACTGACATTTTTCTCTCCTTTTCCCGCTTAGATGAGAAGATTTAATAAGTTTATTTTATTTCTCAATTGTGTTTCTCTTATACTTTATTTTATTCACACATTTATTCACTTATTTACTTTCACATTTTCAATTCAAATCCCAAATCATTTTGGTTCAGAAACCATAAGAATAATGCCTTTTCGGCAATGGTCACATGTTAAGTCAAACAATTTCCGCTGCTGACATAAACATAAACTTCTCCAAGTATTTCGCACATATTTCAGTGCCTCCCTCCATGCACCTCGCTGGTTTAAACGTTTAAATTTTTAATTAAAATGCATAAATAATAACATTTTTGCAGCAGAGAATGCAATGTCTTGTCAGAGCTGTCCCCAAAACTTTAGATTCTTGGCCAGCATATGCACAGATTTTTGTGTGTTTGTGTATACCCGAGTATATTTCTCATATTTTATGGACTTTGTTTGTGTTTCTACTGCTGCTACGCTTGACAACTGCAACAATATTTACCCTTTTCTGGCTGCTGCTGCTGCTGCGACATTAAAACAATATAAACAAAATAAAATAATCATAATAAATAGATGGGCATAAATTTGCAGGCTCTCGGTGTGCTCGGCTTCAGGCAAAAATGATCACAAGAATTGTCGGCTGTTGACAAGAGAGAGAGAGAGAGAGTGAGAGAAAGCATTTACCATAACACAGTGGCCCCAAAAAGTGTGCTATGCTTTTTGCCACATTGATTATTACTTACAATTCTATGCATTGCTGTTGTGTGTGTGTGTTGGTGTGTGTTGCTGTACCTTGTGGCCCTGGCAGCTCTATTATTATATTGCCATATCCTGTCTCTCTCTATTTCCCCACTCGCTCGTTGTTTGTTGGTGTTGATGCACAGTGTTGGCAGCTGCCATGTTGACGCCTTTGTGCCAACGCTTCTACACACAGCAGCAACAATAACCAGAAGAACACAACCACAACACACTCTCGACACAGACACAGCCCACAGCCACAGACACACCGACATAGCCACCTGGCAGAAGTGCGGGGAGTGGAGTATATTTTAATTTTCATAAATTTGTCATAAATTTGCATAAATACTTTTGGCCCCAAGTGTTCGCTTCAAAGTGGCATCCACACGTTCAGTTGGGACGGGAATGTTACCTTTGAGCAGGGATTTAGATAATTGTAAAGGTTTTTCCTACGTTATGTGGCTTTTAATTAGCAGACAGGGAAGCAAGCAAAGAAAGCGTAGGCTTAGATACACTTTGACTTAAAGGCAAATCAATCAGCGCTTCAACTTTGAAGCTTTCCTTTTTCGTCGCATGATTAAAGTCTCTTCCTCCGCCTCAAAAAAAAAACGTTCTAAAAGAAAAAATTTAAAGCCAAATCCCTGTTTTCCTCGTTTTCCGCCATCTGCCCCGCATCCCTGCATCTGCGTGTAATTTTTCACTGTTTTTCCTCTTGTTGCCCTAATTAAAATGACAACCGCGCACCCAGCACAAGTAGCAAACGAGTGGGAGGTGCAAACGCGTGCCGACTGATAAATAAGCTGCAATTTGCGTTGACATTTGCTCTGCACCGAAAGTGATTTCAATTTTTAATGAGTTCATGTCGCCTGAAGTTGATTAAGTGCGTTGATTCTTTGCCAGGGAAACAGAAACAGAAACCGAAACAGAAACAAAGCCAGCAACAAACCGTAAAGCCAAACGACAAAGAGGATACAAAGGATACGTGTGCCTCCTCCGTAAAGCAAATCAATTGTGGCGAATGTTTAGGCCACACTACACCAGAAGGGTACATACATATTATGGGTAGAGGTTTGTGGTGCACTATAGATGGAAATGTATCTAACCATCTGCAGAGAGTGTCCAAAAGTGTTGCCCTATTTCTATATCTTGGTGTGTGCACTTGACCGCTCGCTGGACGGATTTCATTAGCACAACATTTGACAAAATGCAAACAAATAAACGACAAGGAGACAAACAATAGAGCGACAGACCGCAGGCGGCCACTTAGCACATAAATAGACAGGATACACAGGATGTATATGGACAGACAGCGGCCGGAGGGAGGGAGGCAGTAGCATTAAAGCCATGTTAACATTGTTTCCCTTTTCGGCCACGATGGTTTGTCTTACTTACATGGGATATGTATGTTTGTATGTATCTTTGGCCACACACACAAAATGCTTCATTTGTTTTTACTGCCGTTGCCATTTGTCCGCCTTCTTGGGCGCTAAAAGCATTCCGCTGTGGGTCTGAGGAGTGCTGCCCCACTGAGCGTATTGACCTGACATGAAATTATATTAATGAAAAACTTATTGACAGCGGCGATCAATCAGCACTCTTGACACCCAAAAAAAAAGACACTGATATTGATTTAATGAATTAAGTTCATGCTGATGTTTGTGCCTACATTCTGCCAGAGATGTCCATTGAAAGATTGAGAGAGCTGCAAATGCTTTAGCCTTGCTGTTGAGTTCCATTATCCTTTCGGCTGCGGGAAATTATTATTTAAAAAAGATGCAGATAAATATTTAAAGAAAAGTCTCCACCAAGAACTTTTTCAGTTTGTTGCCACCGCACAAATCGTTTGACAGATTGATGAACTGAAGTGAAACCCCTCACACCTGGTCATCTATTGAGCCGCCTGTTCAAACTGCTGTTTCAACTACCTTTTTCTGACTTGTTCTGGATTTCTTTTTGTTGTTGCAGGAAATGGACTTTGGCACCATCATGTGCTGGGCGGACAACAATGTGGGTCAGCAGAAGGAGCCCTGTGTGTTCCATTTGATAGCCGCTGGCAAACCGGAAGCGCCCACCAACTGTACGGTGGTCAATCAGACGTCCGACTCACTGGAGGTCTACTGCATCGAAGGTGAGTTATCCACACAGATACACACAGATCCATGGAGCGGCAGTCGTACATCAAATTGCCTGGCAATTTGTTGGCCCTTTTCTTTTTTGCTTGTTGTATTTTTTATGTTGCGCTCTTGTTCCAATAATTGTTGATGAGCCAATCAATGGCCGAAAAAGGCAACACAGAGAGGGAGAGAGAGAGACAGAGAGAGAGAGCCAATGGTCAAGAGGGAAGGAGGGCAGTGGCACATCCTTTTTCCTGGATGAAGCAGAAATGTTGCGTTGAGTTTCCTGCAACGCTTTTCAGACTCATTTAAAATACATGAGCAACTTAAGTGCACTTTGGCAGCGCATCTACGAGAATGTCTATCCACACAGAGAGTACACACAGATAAAAATGCAATGAAAGCATACAACTAGAAGGGAAAGAGCAGAACGGAGCAGCAGCAGCAGAAATAATGTTGCTACAATTTGCAGTTCAGTTTCCAGTTTAAACATTTCTGAGTCCAGTAATAAATAAAATAAAAGCAGCAAGCGATCAACTGCCAGTGGAAGTAAAAGCTGGAAGACAGAGAGAGAGAGAGAGAGAGAACGAGCTCGAGAGGCAGCAAAGTTAAGCGCAAATTTGTACATACAAAATGTTTTGGCTTGTTATGCAAGTTGCTGCCAAAGAAGGAACTAGGCGAATGCAGGGACTACAGGAGCACAGCCAAAGCCAAGGATAACTCTCGAGTGGGAGAGTGGGTAGTCAGTGGCAAGAAGCGATGTGAAAACTTTAAATACAAATTCAATTCGCATATTTTATGCGCAAAATGCAAAGACAGAAAAATGCCAGCAAAGCGCAAAACAAGCAGCAGCCAGCAAGCAACACAAATTGCAGCAGAGCAGAAAGCAGAAAGAAGCACAGTTCAAAGTTCGCGCGGGAAGAGAGTGAGACAGTGAGAGAAGCGAGAAATGTCCTCGCAAATTGCAGGGCATCAGCTTATGATGCATTTATGCAGCCCTTGAGTGCTGCTGCTACGCGATAGAGAATGAGTCGCAGAGTAGTCCCCGGCAAATCAAAGTGCAGCATAACGAGGCGGCTGCCTGCAAAGTGCAACAAAAAGCGCATAATAACTGCATACTTAATGGCGGGGGCGCTCTCGCCCGCTCACTGCTTGTGGCAATGCCCCGTCTACTATCAAGTCATTTCCATTAACCCTCGCCGTCTGTAGTCGCTTTAAATCGCTCAAAATGTGCTCCAGCAATTGCTGCCTCCAATTGTTTTGCTAAATGTTTGTCTCAAGTGGGTTTACAGTGCCTCTTGGATAGCCCCCTCGCTGGTGCTGCTGCTGCGGTTCAACATTGCGTTTGCTTATTGTGTAATCAAATTAAACGGCAGCCGCCAGCAGTGGCGAAAGGTAACCCTGTAAACCGAAAGCAGTGCTCCTGGCCGATGGCTTAAATGTGTTTAAAAATTGCTTAAAAATTGCACAGAATTTGTGCTAAAAAAAGAGCCTGGAAAATGCATTAGAAATGGTGGAATATTGAAATATTTTCCACTCTAAAATCCCCTCCAAAACCCTTTCTTTTTTATACTTTAATGTTCCCTCTGCCACGTATCCAGTGCGTATACTTGATGGCCAAAACTATACGATGGCCAACATTACGTATGCAATGTGCAGTGTGGCAGACTTTAAGCTGCCGCCCTATCCACCGCTCACTCTGTCTCCCGCTCTCTGGCATTGTTCGCCTTATTACCGCATCAGTAGCACCCGCACCAGCCGCCCCCGCTGGCTGCTAATTTAGTGGCTGCACATTATTATCATAGTCATCAGCATCATTAAAACTTTAACGCAAGTTGTTTAAGCACAACACAAGAGCAGCAGCAGCAGCAGGGGCAGGAACGGGGGCAGTGGCAGCGGCGTTGGGCGAGCGCACAATGCGATACTTTTTATATTGCACTTTACATTAAGGCAAACGACTGCTGATGTGCCACACCCCCCACACAGACACAGACACACAGTGTGCGCCCACTGCCCACGCCATTCTCCATTTTAGTTGTAGCCATCAGCCTCACCCACAGTCAGTGTTCCGTTTGGTCGTTTGTTGTACTCTTTTTAGAGCGGGTTTGCGGGCTGCAGGGAAAGGTTTGCAGTGCAAGAAAGGAAGCGTTAAAAAATATATACAAAAAATGTTTAAACTATAAATATCTGTATGAAATGGTGCCTCTTAAATTGGAATACTTTAGAAATTATTTCAATTATAATCAATCATTAGTTTCCCAAAGCAAAAGCAAGTCCCAAAACAATTTCCAATCCATTTCTGAAGCAAATTTTGCAGCAATTTTTGTTGCATTTATTTCTGTCTCAGCGGAATCTTAGAAACTTCCTTAGACTTTCGTTAACGCCCTTAACCCCTAAGTTAGCTGAACGGACTTTCTGCCTTAACCCCTCAGAAATCTCAGACATCTTCCAGTGTATCTTGCACTTCGTCTAAGTCGCTCGGCGTTTACTTTATTTTTTTTTTATAATAACTCAACTTTAGCTGTGCTGCGGTCGGTGCACGTTTCGACTTTAATAAGCCAGCACGCAACTCTTGGCCAACTCAACTCGACATGGCCCCGTCGCCTGAACTCAAACTGCAAAACTGAAAAACTGCAAAAACCCCGAGCCAGAGCCAGAGAGCCCAGAACTCCCCCGCACTGGACTCGAATTGAATTCAATGTGCGGGCGGCTGCGGCGCTTGGGCTGAAAGCTAAAGACAACTTCGGTAGCTGCTGCTACTCTCTGTTTTCTCTCTCGCTCTCCCTTGTTGGGTCGGTGGAAAACAACAACTAACCAAACTCATCAAGCGTCGGTTTAATATAATACAATTTCAGTTTATAACATTTTGCTTGGCCCTAAGACTCTCCTCCACTTTCCGCTGGGGTTTTCCACTGGTTCTTCCCTCTGCTGCTGCTCCTTTCCGTTGCTTTATTATTTTTACTCCACTGTTGCTGTTGCTGTTGCTGTTGCCATTGTTGCCACTGCCGCTGCTGGTAGCAGACGAGTAAATAAAATTAACCCATTACAATGAAGTTCTTTTTTTTTTTTTGCTGTTGTTGAGCAAAATTTCATTAGCTAAACGTTTTAAAGTGCGCACAAAATGGCCGCCAACGATAGGAATACAGCAAGACAGAGGGAGACAGAGAGAGAGTCACCTAAAAAAGGGATAAAGGGAAAGCAGAATGGACTGCGAACAATGACGAGAAAGAGAGAGAGAGCGCAGCCTTTGAAGCAAAGGGCCAAGCCGCATTCTTTTCACTCTATTTCCTGGGCGGCCCCTTTTTCCTTTGTGACGCAAGAAGCTCCACGGCTAAATTCATAGCCAACATATAAAACATTTGCCCCCACAACAATTTCCCCCTTCCTTCCTATGGGGGAGTGTCCTGCCTCAAGTAGTTCCAGCCGCCACTTGGGGCATAAGCAGGGAAAAACCTTTTCAGTGGCCGCCGCCGCCGCCGCCGCCGCCGCCTGCCCGTCCTTTATTACAAAATATTTAAACATTTTTCGCAAGTGTTTTAAGTCGGCTTTTGTGTCTACAATGAAGTGCCATTTGAGCAGTCAAAAAAGGCTAAGCAAAAGGCGAGCAGCCAGCAGTCAGCAGTCAGCAGCCAGGATATTAGCCTGCTTTTTGGCATAAGGCTGCGGCTCTCCTCTCGAGCCATACCCAAAAATAAAGTGAATTCCTCTTCAGCCCACCTCCTAGAGAGAGTGCTGGGTGGAAGTTCCTTTGTGGCGTTATTAAATGGCATTTAAAATGTAACTTTAGAATACTTTAAACACACACACACACAGGCAGGCAGTCTGTGTATTTTTTTTGGGTCTGTGAGGTCAAGGGTTAAAGGCACTTCAATTACGAGTGGAGTACTTCATGGGCTCGGGGCAAGGGTCGTAGTGCCTAAACACTTGATGACGCTGTTGGTAGTTTCTTTTTTTTGTTGCGTTTTTTGGGCTGGGTGAAAGTTGCGAAAGGAGGCTGGAAATTTGAGCAGAGCTTTGAAATTAATGTGGGGAATAGGAATAGGTTAAGGAAGGGTTTTTAGGCAGGGCAATATTTAGTTAAATGTTGTCAAGAGAACCTTTTACTGTGCGCTTAATTTCTTAAAAGCATTAGTTGTTAGTAAACGATCTCTCAGAGCTCTCGGAGAGCGTTAACAGCAAGCGAATGAAGCAACACCAGAGCAATAACAGTGTGCTGTTACAGCGTCAGCGGTCAAAGGCTGTTAATGAAAAGCGCAGCGGTAACAGGCAACTGTTAACGGAAGCTGTTAACAGCGCAGTGACTCTGTAAGAGCTGCTGTCAGCCCAAATGTGCCAAAGATATAAAAATATATACGTACAATAATAAATAAATAAAATAAAACAAACACAACAAATAAATAAGAACAAGTTATCTCTGCTTAAAATCTAACCCGCTACAGACACATTTCCTGCCACAAATCCAGCGTTCATTGCATATTCATTTCATATTAAACAATTCATCGAATGAATGATAATAAACACGCCATAAGACACCCCTCTGAAGCTCCTTCGAATCTTCGAAAACTTGTTTCACTTTCCATTCAGTCAAATCGCGAGCTTAAAAAGTTGTTTCACAATAACTTTTGTCCGTAATGTAATTCCATATTATCAAAGTCGAAAGCCAGCAGCAAGTCATAAATAAATCTTTACCTTTGCTCAATCCCCAATCCCCGAGCACAAAAAACAGTCAACGGAATCGGAATCGGCCCCTAGGCAAAGCCACACAAAGGACAAAACAGTCAATGCCGGGCAACTACTTAATAAACCCCCCCACAAATCCTCGGTTAATATGCTAAATAATCCCCAGTTCGTGCCAAGTTATGCAATCAGCGTGTCTGAGTGTCTCACTGCTCTGTTCTTTCTTCTCTTTGCAGGCTTCGATGGGGGCATGCGCCAGTGGTTCCTCATGGAGATCTACGATCAGCACAGCGGCCAGCTGCAGGCCAACATCAGTGCCAAGTTTGCGGCTTTGGCAGTGACGGGCCTGGATGCGGGTCGTCTATTCCGGATCTATGTCTATGCGGTGAATGGACGTGGCCGCAGCGAGGTGGTGGCACTCGATGGCTATACCCTCAAGGCCGCTGAAAAGCAGACGGGTGAGTGCCAAAGAAAAACATGTACCACCCAGTCCGCTTTGCTATGAATTTTTAATGCATTCTGTGCGGCGCGTGCGTTTTGCTTTTTATGAATATTTTATGTTAATAATTTCGGTCCGTTCTCCCGCTCATAAAGTGCATAACTTTGCTGTCCGGCTGTCCCCGTATCAGTTTCTTTTCTCTCTTTACGATTATTATGCCACCTCGCAATTTAATTACGCTAAACTGCTCAATGAATTGTAAATTCTGCGACACAAAACTTTACTCGCTGCCTGCAGTGTAGCGCAGGAAAAGGCACCGAAAAAAATTAAAGAGAAAAATGTTATGCAAAAAAAGAAACAGCAAAAAGTAGCGCAAGAAATCTGAAATGATTAGCATTAATGAATTGGTTTTTTTTTGTGTGTGGGGGTAGGGGTAGAGAATCTCTGCCACGTTTTGGAAGAAAGCAAATTGTAATGCTAATTAGCCAAAGCGGCAGCAGGAAGGCAGACAAGAGTTTTATTTTCCTTTTTCTTGTATTTCTTTTGCTGCTGCTTTTCCTTGGACGGAAAAGGTTGTGGAAGCAGAGTCACATTTTGTGTAAACAACTTGAGCCGACATTTCAATTTTTCATAAAGTCACAGGACGCAGCAGAAGGCAGCAGACAGACGGACAGACAGACGGACAGACAGACGGACAGACAGACGGACAGAAAAGTGCAAAGCAAACAACAGACAGGCAGAAGGCAGCAGGGCAGGGCAGGACAGGCGGAAGGGCAGGCAGGAAAGACAGAGGGAAAGACAGTGGAAAAGCAATGAGAAGACACAGAGAAAGCGAAGAGCTGGCCAGATGGAAATGTAAAATGGAATAAAATTTGTCTTTTGGCAAAAAAAAAGTCAAAGTTTAAATGCCCTGACCAAGAAGGATAAATGCTGAAAATTAATGCCAAAAGTATTGGCCTTTTGGGAATAATACACAGGGATTTGATTGGCATTGATTGCAGACAGAGGCAGGGAGGAAGTGAGAGCTTATAAATGCTGAACAGAGAGCGAGCAAAAAACAGAGAGCAGTAGGCATGTGTTCGCTAGTGCTATGTTAGTTTGTATGTTAGCTTAAGGTTAGTTTTATCTGCGAATGTTCAGCATAATGTTAAGGTGGCCATTCACAGGCGAACATGCTCGACGGAACTTGTTTTTACTGCGACATAGAACCTGTTCGATCTTTCGGGTGTTCGTGCGAATATGGAAAAGTTGATTCATGTTCGACGAGCACATTGCCCGAGCATGTTCGCCTGTGGATGGCAACCTAAAGCTACATTATGTTGATTATTACACACAATAATACTACACATAATACTCTAGTTTCCTCTTTTTTCTCCATAATTTATCTCTTACAGTTGCCCTCACCTCGTACAAAGGCAGCGCCCAGAGCCCGGATAACTTTGAACTCACACCGATCCTCTCCATTGGCATCTTTGTGGGCATTCTGGTGGCCATCGTTTGCATTGGCATCGGCACGATTGCCGCACTGAAGCTGCGCTCGCACAAGCACCAGCAGCAGCAGAAATTTGTACATCCGAATGCGAAATTCTCACGTCCCGGCAATTTACAAATTAAGGATAAAATCTCATTGCCATTGAGTCACTCGGAGGAGATGTACGATGAGAAGAATCCCGATGTGGTGCCCTACAATGAGGGTAAGTTTGGGGCATTCAAGATGAATGTGTCTGGGCCCTGCGACGACTTCTGTTTGCAATTTATGGACCCTGGCTTAAGGCTGCTCCTGCTGCTGGCAACCCTTTATGCAAATGCATTTGACAGGCCCAAAACAAACAGGGAACACACAGGACATGCACACACACACACTCCTGAAGGACTGTCCCTGCTGCACATTTTTGTGCTGCATTGCTGCTGTTTTGCCAGTGTTGAAATATTTAAATGACAGCTAATTGCTGTCATGCCTCCGTGCCAAACGGTTAGGGCGCACTCTGCTTGTTTGCTCATGTGTCTGCAGTCGAGTGCAGGTCCTGCTCCTGCTCCTGCTCCTCCTGCTGCTTGCCTTAAAGCGGCTTCATCTTAATGATGGCATGATGGGCTGAGACCTGGGGGCAGGCAGGCAGCAGCAAATTTCACTCACTGCACGTTTTACGTCTTCCTTTTTTGGTTCTTGATTAATGGCAATCAAGAAATCAAGCGGCAGCCGAAGCGAAGCTCAACTACAGAAGCAGGCAGCAGCAGCGCAACAATTTAATCAATTTTCCAAACGTAAAGCAATTTCATGGCCAGCAAAAAAAAAAAAAGAACAAGCAGTGGGGGTAATGCCAACAAAATTGAACCTAAAGGAAGATGGAAAACTTGCTACCGAAAATCACCAAAAAGATTTGAGCGGGACGGACGGAGGCCAACGGCCAAAACTTTTCCCTAGCTACTTAACAACAGCAACAAGAAGGGGGGAAAGGGGGAAAAGGGGGATGGGAGCTCAAACTTTTTGAACCAACCAACCGTTCGTCGTTGCTCTGTCTCTCTCTCTCTTACACACACTCTCTCTCTCTCTCTCTCTCTGTCTCCGTTTCTTCTTCCAGTGGATGGTGAATATAAACAAAAATCAGCAACACAAACGCCATCGGGACATCTTTCGACAACCAGCGAGGTGGAAATCAGCTGCAAGCCAGGCTCAACATCCGGTGGCACTGGCAACGTTGGCGGCGGCGCCTCCACCAGTGGCAACAACTCCAACGACAGTGGCACCTATCAGAGCAGCAAGGTAAGAGCAGGGCATGGTCTGGGGGGTCGACAGCGCAAAACTGTCATCATCAAAAGTTTTCGGCCACGAAAAGTTTTAATTACAGTCGAACTACTCTATGACGAACTCTTGCGCCCCGCGCTGTGGCCAGGAGTTGAAAGAGGAAAAAGGAAAACATTGCCATGACAAATGCTTTGATTTTCTTGGAGCGGCTTTGGGTTGGGGGTAAATCTTCTCCTTGATTATTGCTTAACTAAATGATTACCTGGGCCCAGGCAGGCAGGGACACTTTGGGCCCCACCCACCCGGATAGGGTTCAAAGTTCGGGGATAACGTGCAATTTTTGTGTCAACTTTTCAAGTGGCTTTTCAAATGGAAATTCTTGGGCAGAATCTTTCAGTTTCTGGCAGTTTTCTCGAGTAGTTTCGACTGTACTTTAGGCCTGAAATCTTCAATCATTCAATTCACGAAAAATCTTCACTTTTTTCTTCACTCCCGCAGGACGATGAGCTGCACTATGCGGAGCTGTCGCTGAATCAGTTGCCTGCCACCAGCAATGCCAAGAAGGGCCAACCGTGTGCCACACAGCAGCAGGTGCAGGGACAGGTGCAGGGACAGGGACAGGGACAGGGCGTTCTGGGCGGCACTCTGCCGCATGGCTCCAGCATGCGCAAGCTGTTGCCCAGCATTCCGGCAACGGCGACGTTGCAGCGTCACAAACCGAATGCGGGCGGCATGCAGCATCCGCATCAGCACGCACCGCCGCCCACATACGATTACGATTACTTTGAGGAGCCAACGATATACGCGCAGATCGACGCATACAAGACACGCGGAGGAGGCGCCACAGTCGGAAGTGACAGGCAGATGCAAATGCAGGTGGACACTGCAACTGGAGGTGGCATCGCCTTTCCGCCGTGCATCTCATCGCCGGGATCGCATGGCACACCATCAACCGTGTCGCCGGGCACGGTGCAAATGTATACGCTACCCTCCCATCCCGGTGGCTATCACACTCTGCCACACAATCATCATCCACAGCAGCAGCAGCAGCAGCACCAGCAGGGGGCACCCCAGAACTCCGCTTCGATGATGCAAATGATACAGCAGCAGCAGCAGCAACAGTTGCAACAGCAGCATCATCATCCTGCTGGCAATATGCCCATGCCGCCATCCTACCAGCAGCACCAGCAACAGCAGCAGCAGCAGCTGGTCCATGGCCAGATGCTCGTCTCGAGCAACAGCAGCGGACTGGCATCCACGACGGCAGCGGTGGCCAGTCCCAGTAGCTCGCTCTCAGGACTCTCTGGTGTGGGTGGCAAGTCCTATTCGCGTGAGATAGTCACAGTGCGCACACCGCTCATGTATTCGCAGCAGGAGAGCTGTGTTTAAGCAGATGTAAGCCCCATAGCCCCCTTTCCCACTCCTCTCCAACCCCCCCTAAATGATAGTTGTTTAAGTCTTGAGCTCTTTGTGGTTTGTGTCTAGGCTTAAGCGTTGCCAAAACGAATTGAATTACAAGAACTGCAATTGAATTGAACCAAAGAAGAAAAGGAAACAGAAAGAGCAGGCCCGAAAACACTGTGGCTAGTGAGTCAGAGAGTTTATAATTTATTTTGGAAAAATGCAGCGCAATAATATTAATGTGTGGCATTAAACCAGCAGACAGACAGCAATATAAATAAATCAAAATTGATTAACGAAAAAGAGTAACAACGGAGCAGCGCATAATTAATGGCAATTCATTTTCGATTCCACACAATAAATTGCACAGCACAACAAAAATTTGTCGAAAGAAAGAGAAGAAAGAAAAAAAAACACAAAGCTGCTGGGCGATAGCTTTAACGCGAGAAAGAGAGAGCAGAGTTTTAAGAGCAGAGATCGGCAGCGTCGTTATGCATAGAAAGAAATTTCGGGCAGCGCTGACGGGCGACGGGCAGCGTTAAAGCTTCGTGCGCCTTCGGCCTATGCACAGAGATTGGACGTAGCGGCAGAGAAATGAACAGAGAAAAAAGTTCGGCGTACATTCCATGCACATTTGCTCGGCTATTGTCGGCAGCGGCAGAGAAGCAAGAAACGTTTTTGGACTTCGTGTCGTTTGTTGTCTTTGCATGCAAAGGCACTAAAAGAATGTGAGTGGCTGTCCGCCGAGTCCCGTTCTAGAGGGATGCACAGTTATTTTGTATGCACTTTTGTTGACGAAAGTCAAAGTCAACCACAAAATTGACTGTCAAAGGTGCGCCCTGGCTGTCCAGGTTCTCGTTTAGCAGCAGCTTCTTCAACTTTACTTTTGTGCAAATAAAATGATGACAGATGCAGCTGGCAGTGAGGCAGCAGAAGAATGTTCCTTCCTTACAGTAAGTACTCGAAATGAACAAACAGTTCATTCCACACACACACAACATATGAACATCAACATAAATATATTCAAACTGATCTGAGAACTTTCCAGCTACAATTTTGTAAATGTTTTGTAAATGTAAATGTCAGGAGTGGGACGTAGTCGGTCAAACAATTTCTAGCAATTAGGCTCAAAAGAATGCATAAATCTAGTATAAATACTAACTAAATAATAGACTTACACACACACACACACACACACACAGAGAGACACAGAGATACAGAGGAAAGCTCACAGGCATTCAAGCATCAAGGCAGCGGAGGAGCCGCAACAAATTCTTGGCAATTATATTGAAAATAAATTACATTATTCGACTCTAATGGTTAAAAACAATACACTCAAACACACACAGACAGACACAGACACAAATTAGCTGCAAATTAGATTAGTGCATAAAATGAGAGAGAGAAATACCAAGTATTAAATCGTGTAAATAGACAAAAGCAACAAGAACACAAATCGTAAATCAAATTTATAGGTACATAAATGGTGTGTGTATATTTTACAAAATCAAACCGCAAAATGAATGTAAATTAGCAGGCACATTCAGCAATGGACTCCACTCCCAGAAAGTAATAATAATAATACAAAAAAAAGACTATAAATATTTCGTTGGAATGTGAAAGAAAGCTAAAATAATATAAAATATAAAAACTGTTGTTTGTAAATTGCATTTATAAGTGTAATATATCAAAAATGTATTTATGTATATTTCCTTTTGTTCTTTGTCTCCTTCAAATGTGTATAAATCAATGTTGCAACGGAAGAATAAATGAGTGCACCTTGTAAATTATTGTTACATTTTAATGTTTAACGAAAAGGTCAAATGCAATTTCAAATTCTACCAAAAAAAAAAGTGATTTCTCTTACATCAATTAAAAAATGGAAAAACAAAAAAGAAAATAAAATAAAATTTGTATAACACATAAGAAAGATCCATCTACATTTACGCGTAAATTTCTGCATGTAAGTGTTCCCAAAGAAAAACAAAGAAAAACCCAAAAAATTATATGAAACTATCGATTAAGCGTAGCTAATTCTAGCATCTAAAACACAACTTAAAGATTAAAAACACACATAAAGATAATTGTAAAATATATTAAAGATTTAGTTTAAAACAAGAAACAAGCATATACTCGATAAATGAATTATAAATGTATGTTACGATTAAGCACTCGAAAAGAACCCCAAATACCCTGAATATCCCCAAACAAGAAATCCAAAGAGAAATACAAGGAATACAATAAAAAAGAGAAAGAAGAAAGAAAAAAAACTGAATGAACAACAACAACTGAATGAAGAACTCAACCAAATAAAATCCATACAAAAATTTCAATGAAAACAAAAGACAAGTTTTTTTCCTAATAAAATAAACGGTTGGAATGGGATTTTCAGATGGCTCAGCAGCGCTCACACGACAAGGGAATATGGCAGCATCAAGCAAGTTTGATCGAGCGAACATTCCCTGACTTGGCGATCGAACTTCGCGTTTGATACAGAACATGTTTTACACGCTTACGATGTGGAAAAATCTATGGACCTGTCTATAAAAGGCCATAAAAAAAAGGCTTAAAGGGACTTCTTTCAGGGGCAATCTTTCATGTACATTTCACTGCACTGCTTGGTGTCCTGGTTGTAGCTGCAGTGTCAGCCCCATTAGCGACAAGGCTGTCCATTTACTGCTGCTGCAATTTTTGCAACAATTTTAATGCACACACACAAATAAAGACACAAAACATAGATACACAGAGGCAGAGACATTGACAATGCAATGCCCCCAAGGCACTTCCACTTCCCCAAGAAGGCAAGTAGCCTTTTCAAATTGTGCACTCAAATGGACACAGACACAGCCCCAAGACCAGGACAAGCGACGACACGACTGTATGAGTTACATATATTTGTGTGTGTGACTGTGTGTGTTCTTTTTCTTATTTTTCCTCTTTTTTTTGGCAAGCGTTTGCATGTGCAGCGAAGCGTAGATCTAAAAGAAATAAGAAGGCAGCGAGAAGACAGGCAGGCAGGCAGCGACATTACATGGATTTGTGGCTTGGCAATGGCAATGGTCATGTTTGACAAGGACTCCCAGTCGGGCTCTCTCTCTCTCTCTCTCTCTCTGGCTTATACAAAGTATTTGCGTTACTTTGTTTCGCTGGCTACAAAATTAAAAAGCACACACACAAGCACAGAGGACACACACACAGAAAACGGAAATCGGAGGAAACGAAACGAAAAGAAAGCGAGACAGGCAGCAAATGAAGCTGCGACGCGACGACCCCATGGCAGGCAGGCATTGCAGCGCTCACAAAAATATAACGAGAAGACCCTCAGACGGACGTACATAGCTTCCAGTTGTCGGTTTTTGGACGCTGGGCTCATATGTCACTTTGTAGTCGTGACAGCAGCAGGGAGAGGGAGGGAGGAGTCTCTGCCTCGGTCTGCGCTCCTTCCGGAGTAATTTATGTGGCCGCCCAGCTGTCCTGTCTATGGCTGTTATGTCCCCTCTCGTTTTGTCTGACAGATTTACCAAAATTAAAAATTGTACAAGTCTACGCTCAATTAAACATCTTTCTTGGCTTGTGCCTGGAGGGGGTGTGTAACTTTGATGACTGTTTCAAGAGTTCTTTTTGCAGAACTTTAACTAAAATACATGTGGAATTTTGTGTTAAGTAACAGAGAGCGGCGGCAGAGTCTGTAGTGTTAACAGAGACAATAACAGAATCGCAATAACAGCGAGAGAGACCACAAGCGGCCGTCGAACCGATCCAAGCCTCAACACGATCGATGCTATTTTCATACATTTCATTCAAGTTAAAGCACATCGAAAACTTTAGACTCAAACATAAACATTGTCCTGCAAGGAAATGTAGAAACGTATCTGCAATTTTATGTGTATGTTTTATTGAAATCTCTCTCCATCATATAAAGCTTCATCGATTCATTCGCATCTCAATCAAACTTTTCTCTCACTCTTTGTGCCACTGGCAGACTGGCACTTGAACAACCCTTCAGAACAGAACTGAGCCCTTCCCTACGCTTCCCTCTCTCTCCTTCCAATGCTTTTGTTGTACAACATCTCATCCATTGTTATCTGCTGGCCATTTGTTACGCAGCAGCAGCAGCGGAAGGCAGGTAGCTGTTCGCTGTTCGTTCGATCCAACCAGGTCAACCAGGAGAGAACACTCTCCAATCTGCAGTTCTCAAGAGAGCGTGAGGGAGTGGGAGAACCGAACGAACGCTGTTGGACGACACATTCATCAGCATCGAGTCGCATAATGCAGGCATATTTATAACATTTGACAGAGCATTCACAAAGCAAACGCATCGAAGCTTGCAGCTTAATCGCAGTGACTCTGACTGACTGACAGACAGGCTTCTCCTCTCCTGTCTCTGGAGCACTATTTACAATTATTGCTCTTGGGACAAGCGGGAACGAACGTTCGTGCCCTTTAACAATCTCTTTTCCATGTGTGTGCCTAAACAATCTCTTTACCATGTGTGTGCCGGAGAGAGTGGCAAGCAAAACAATCTCATTACCATTATTTTTTAGCTGCTTCAAACTTTCAATCAATTTCCCCAGCAATATCCGCTCTGGAAACGTTGGAGGACGTCGAGGAACAACTTGAAGGAACTTCGGGTGCAAGTCTCAGTCTCAAGCAGGCACTCCTATGGCTTTCATGGCCTTTTTTTTATGCTGTGCTGCTGTTGCTGTTCCCATCGCCCTGCCTGATGGGACGCCCAAGTGACAGCATTGTTTTGCGCCATGACGCAGCTGATGCTACAGGAATTGCTTTGCTTTGAAGTAAACAAGCAATTTTAGCAAAAGAAAAGAAGCCAGCAACCCTGTCGGGAGTACCAGTTCCAGCGCCCCACACACACACAAGAACAGCCCAAGACAGCCACACACATACTTTCGTATACTCGTCCTCGTATGCATAACTTGGAGCCTCTGATGCTGCTCAGCCTTTTTGCTGTCAGCTGTCAATGCACTCGACGCGTCTGCTCTTGTTCGCAGCAGCAGCAGCAGCGCAGTGTAGTCTCTCTGTCCCTTTCCCAGGCTCACACATCTACAGTCATATCCACTTCCTTCCCAATGCTGCATTTTTTATGCTGCATTGCACTTTGACTTCCTTGGTCTTTTGTTTGCTCGCTCGCTCGATACTCTTCGTCGTTGTCGTTGTCGTTGTCGTTGTCGTAGCCTGCCTGCCTTATCAGTCGAGAGTTGTAATACCTCTTGAAAGCGATTGTTGTATACAGCCCATGCATGAGAGCGTTACTTGTGGTGCGGTTTGTTAGAAAGAGAGAAGGATGTTCTAGTTCGATTCAATTCAATTGAGCGTGCAGCAGAAGCTGTGCTTGTGCTTGAGCTGCGAAGATCAAACATGCTCGAGCTAGCAGTCGCTGCTAGCAGCTTCGTGTGTAAAACACATCTTAACGAAGGCGTACGAACTTTCGGGTTTCTTGCAAGCGAATTGATCGACTTCGACGCCTCGGCTCTTGTTCGCAGCAGCGCTTGCATATGCATGGGGCATATTATTTTTCTCATCATCTTCCACCTGCTACCCGCTTCTAGCATAGCACTGGCTTAGCAAATGGGTAACCAGTAGTCGTAATGCCCACCCTAAAGTCCATTTTTTGTTGTTCTCTTTCTTTTTTCGCCTCGTTCCGCTTCTACTGCCGCTGCTGCTGACAACATTGTCATCAACATAATCATCAGCGTTAAAGTTTTGGCAGTCTCTCTTTTCTCTTTCCGTTGCACTCCACTCCCTTTCGATATTAAAATGTCTTTGAAGTTGCTGTCGTTCCTTCTTCCTTCCGCTACTGAAGCATACATAATTAACAAATATTTCACATGAGACAAGAAACAGAGAGGGAGAGAGAGAGCAGACAGAACAGACAGCGTACACATTCGAGAGATCTTGTAGTTAAGATGACAAATGTTTGCCAATAAATTACAGTTACGCCTGCAATAAATATTCAAATACCAGAGCGGAGCGAACGTAGAACGGAACCCCAAAAATGGTCATAGTCAGGCAGAGAGCAGGAGCAGCAGTCGCAGCACAACTGCTAACTAATGATCTATTAGCCAAGGACTTGTGTGTGCGTCCCTGCGTCCTCTGTCCTGCCTCGCTCGCTTTCTCTCTCTTTCTCTCGTACAAATATGTGTGTTTTGGTTCTGGTTTGTTCCTCATATCCGGTGGCTCGTCTTATTAGTTCACAAAAGCGACCACGTTTGACTTTTATTGCAGCCCCAAAACTGTATGGCACTGTGGCAGCAGTAGTTTTCCCTACATTTATCTTGCTTTTGGGGCATGCCACTCCTCCCCGCACCGGATGTTGACCAACTTACAAATGAGCTTCACATTCAATTTGTCTAAACTGATGCAAATATGATTGAACAAATTTATTTTCACTGCGAAACGAAACGAAATGAAACGAAGTCAATTTCAAGTCCAGC